AGTTAATACTACAAATACTTTAATACATACCTAGGTTTGATTACAAATAGTGACAACACGATTGGCAAACTTCCGGGCAAAAGGAACACTACGGCTAAGACTATTTAACGAAGAAATCGTCGATATGTTTATGTATCTTCCGAGCGATTTTACAAAATTTGATAATTCTATTGTTTCATGACCTAATAGTATGAAAGATAAATGAGAATGTGTGGTGATAAACTGACCACAGATGAATAACCATACCAATGGTATGTGTATGTTTGCACACGTAAAACAATATTTAAAGGTGCAAGCGTTTGTATAAGACTTTCACTGGAGTAAGCCGTAGCGTCGCAGCCAACTACGTAACATCACGCAATGCGCAAAAGGGGTCACGTTGTTACAAAGGTCACGATATCGCGTCAACGAACCGTCAGTACTCCACTTATATTGTTAACTAACTACACGAGGACGAGGAGACACCCACGTGCACCGCTCTCTTAATTTTCTTACATAAAAACTATTATACATAAGTAGAAAACAGATACCGTGTCTTTCTTAGTCTTACAAAACTCTATAATGGTTGGAAGTCGACCTATGTGACTTGCAGATTCCTTTAGAACTGGTTCAGTATTTGAGTTAAGATGTGATATAAGAGCGAGAAGGGACATAGCAACCAACAATTGCGTTTCCTCATTAACTACGAGCGATCTATCCAGAGCAACAAGTTTAAGAGAAAAAAGGGATGCGTGACCGCACAAATTTTATGAATTTCAACCAACGGGAAAGTTATTATTGATATAACATAGCAAACAATAATTATCGCTTACATAATTATTATTCGCATTGTTATATCATGTCTTATGGTTGAAAATTAGAACGAATGCAATGACTTTAAGGATAATTGAGTGAGGATGACGGCGTAAAAACAATGTGCAGACGTTACAGTAGCTTGTTAATTTGATTAACTTATTTCATCTATTAGAAGCGAGATTGAAGAGATTTGAGCACGAGAAAACGCAATATCTTCATGTTTTGTTCCCAAGCTGCCGCCATGCCACTGCAACCGGTTAAAAGCTTACCGCATTCATGAGATTCCAGTGAATACGGATTCCCACCACAGAAGTAACGACTAAAGAGTACCTCCACTGCATCACAGGTAGTTTTAGAGATCGAAATACTGTCCAAACAGACATACAAAACATCTTTATTGTTATAGCTAGAATTTTGGCAAAACAAACTATAACCGCGCCAGGCCCAGATACATTTATATTTAGCGGTAATTGACTATACCTGCCGTGATCCCGGGTAAGAATACCATCTCCCCATATCGTGGGCGTTTGGGTATACACAACAGGTAGTAAACATCGAATTCCTTGAGAGATTTACGAATAATGATGGCTTACACTCGAGTGCATTTAAATTGTTTTTTTTTTTATTGTAATTAAAGCTCAAATTGCGATGCAATGCAACTATTCTTAAGATTTGCCCAAAAAACTGCAGACTTCGCAAAATCGTTTGTTTTTCTGATATTTGTTACTCCATAATAGAAAAATTTGAACTTGAATATACGAATTCTTACCAAGACGTAATACCGAGGAATTTGGCCTTCTGGCTTATCAGTTTCCGAGAATCGATCTACAGAGCTGCCGAAGCTTGCAGTTATCGAGTAGGAACCGATTGTCTGCATTCTAACGAGCGCATGACCCGACCTTTACGCAACGGACCTTGGCAGAAAGCCGGGAGCTAACATGAAGAAAATAGGTTTGCAGATCACTAATTCACTACCGCATACGTTGACTCTCGGAGACCACAGTCCCCGAAAATGCGAGCTAAGTAAGGTACTGTGTTACTTTACTAGTTAGGAAGTTCCAAAGGGCTAGTTTATCATCATTATCCAAGCTGCAAGGCTAGACAAAAAGGAAAATTTGTTGGAAGCTACCAACAAACGTTTTACGTTAAAAGGTACGTATAATTCCACGGTAAATATTAACTAAAGGAGTTTTTTCATCATCATAAAGGAGGCTTTCATAAACTGTGAGACTGATCATTAATGAAATTATACACTTGATCTCATGTCGATTACATGAGAAATATCTGAAGGTAGCCTAAGCCTTTTTTGTATTAGATGTAACCCAACTACTTAATCTATTGCCTCAAGAAAACTGTTCCAATTACAGTCTAGATTTGAAATAACGTTATTTTGAAAAACTAGTACCAACGAAACACGTCTAGAACACACTAAAAGACAACACCTACAGTTATTTATGTATTTAAAACAACGTTTTGTTTGTGCCTAACTGGGTTTGCAGTGGGCGCGACATCTTTTAACATTCAATGCACAATATAAACAATTGTTGTGAAGTAAATGAGACAGATCGGCATGTTATTAAAGCATTATTGCCAATGGGGAGTGCCTCGGTTCGAGTTTACGATTTATACATAAAAATCTTCTAAACTGAATAGGTTTCTATGTAAATAGAAACCATGTCAATAAAGTTATACAGGGTAATTATCACATAGCTCTCGTCAAGATAAAAAATCTGTATAAATATAATTGATAAAAGTCTTGCTAGTGTATACCTAGACATTACTTGTTATTCATAAAAACTGTGTTTACTGAATGTGAATTCATTATGTGCACGTTTGATGACAGTGTTGAATGTACTTAAAGAAGGACACAGTTACTTCAAAGAACTTGCTTTAAGTTTATTTATACTTGCAACACCATAAAATCGATTTATTATGCATAGTTTAAAATAAAATTGTATGTGCTTTATGTTGTACCATGTTTTATGTGTTGTAATAAGGAAGCTGTTTGTTTGAAATACTGAACATGTTATATCATATATCATACAACACATACAAGTGAAAGACTTGAAAATGGCTATCACTAAGGTTTAAAAAGTACATATATCTAAAAGCACATATTTAAATATGTAACTCATTATCATAACAACACACATTTTGTTTCAATTTATTTCAACTATGAAAACAAGTTTAATGAAAACAAAATATTATCTTCTGTCATGTTAGCAACAAGATATCAATAAAAAAAACAATAATAAGACACAGGCATCACAAAAAACAGCCTAAGAAACAGGTAAACCTGCTTGTATGCTTTTTTGTATTAGAAAAAGATGTTTAAAACTATATTCAGATCAACCAGTTGTGTTTAGACTTTGTACCAAGGGTGAGGTCAAGTATAATACTACTTGTTACAAGTATTCAATTTAATTATTTTGTCCCATACTTTTAAAAAGATATTTTAAATGATCTCTAAATGATCTTGAATTCATATATTAATATAATAAAGCTGCAGAGTTGTTTGTTTGAATACACAATTTTCTGCAACTACTGGTTTGAATTATATAATTCTTTTTGTCTTTGTTAGCCTATTAATCAACAATGGATATAGGCTATAAAAGAGAGGTATGGGTGTAGATAGAAAGTAGCTAGTAAATATACAGTTATGGACTATTTTAGAAGATTAAACTAGGTAATTCAAGCAGAATTTTATACTAAAGTTGTCTATGATTTATTTGTATGTACACATATTCTATGAGTCATCAATACTGGCATGAGTTGCGAAAAATTATTTAAACAATTCCTTCGATTAAATTGATGCAATCAAAATAATTGTTGCGTTACCTTTGACCATATGAAATATGATTGGCATTGGTGTAACTTGTGTGACTCTATAAGTATAATTTGTTGACTAGGTATTATCTGTTGGAAGCAAAATTTTTAAAATAGTTGTAAAGTGTGGCTCTGTTAGAAAATCAAAACATGTTGTGAATCCAACTTAGTTATCACTCAATACAAAGATTTAGATTGTTACCAGCCCTGCATTCAGATAAGTCAGTTAACATCAATTTGTATAAACAATAGAAATTATTTTTAATAATGAGCTATATTCATGTATACTTTAAAGTTATATTCAGTAACTTTAAATATGTTAACATAAAAAAATTGATAGTGGTCATTCTTTTGTTTTATGTAATAAATGCACTATCCATTTCAAAATAAATTCAGCAACTGCTCTCTCCAAATCTTTGTGGGTGACCTTAAGAGGTTCAAGAAACACTAAGCATGTCATATGGTAATAGGCATGGCTCAATGAACTTACAGATAAATAAAATATTTAATGAATTTATAGAGCACTTTAAACCAAAGGAGGATAGCTTGATATTGTCTTTGCCTACATAGGTAATAAAAAGAACAACATTGAACAGTGGTCATTGTTAAGTTTGAAGGTTTCGTTTTCTGTTTGTTGGTTTTTTTCATTATTGTTTTAAGTGAAGTTAGTGTATTACATTTCAATTTAATCAAATCACTTGAATTTCAATAATGTATTGGAATGTCAGACAGATGATGGAATCAAATGCAATATTACAATAACAAACTTTTTATCATTATATCTTCATTGGTCCACATAAGTAATGTGGGTTATCAGCTGTTAAAAATAATTTGTTTAATATAATCAGACATGTCACATGTACACGATAATAATCTTGCTTACAAATAATTTGGTTTATCAAACAAGTAAATAAGCTTTTGAAAATACTGTGACAATGACAGAGCTTGGAAACAACTCGCGGAACCATATACATTAAGTATTTCTTTAACAATTGTTACATTAATGCAATAATAATTAACTAAACAAGCTCATTAATATTACCTTCAAATAAAATTCTTTGTGCTTTATTCTGCCTGTTTATTATATGTAATTAAAATCAAATTGGTGACTTGTCAACTCTTAATGACTGGCAAATTACCAGATTTAGATTGTTCACATACTGTGAAACATTCTAATTGGATAAGAAAGTAACTATTTCAAATATTTAACGTTCGTCATGTACGGCTCATAATAATACAAAAACTGAAAACACAAGGTATGGCCAAAGTTCAACACGTAGTCGTAAGGTTAAACCCGCGCAAATAAACAACAAGAATTACGTTCTAGCGCACTTAACCTCAGCCTAATATCGAATATTTACAACAAAACAATGTAGTACCTGAGTGGAGGCTCCTGTCCGCGCCCCCGGTCATGTTCACTACAGTCCGTCCAACGGTACCACTCAACGCGTCAGGCGGGCGGCACACTCCGCTCCTGGCGGCCCAGCACCACAAATCCACGCAGCAATTATAAAAAGAACCCAATTTCAATGTCACAAAGGTAACACGAGGGTAACGTAGCTCGGCGACGCAGCCGATTCGCACTGACGTCCGCGGTACTCACTAACCACGCGCTCTAACCATAAATATCATAACATAATTTACCTTCTCCCTCATGGTAATCAGTTTCTCGATGTTTATGTCCTTCGACTTCAGCCATATTCAATTTATTTATTTCGAGATCTGACTGGACTGAACATAGCGACGTAAAATTTTTCCAACACGACGCAAGTTGACAACCTTGCGAAGAAAAAAAGACGTGTCATACTGTCAAAGTCAAATCGAGTATAATTTTCAAAATGATAAAATAACTTTATAAATTACTTTATATTTTGAGTAACTTTAACGTAATAAAGTAAAGTAACTACGCTATATTATGTTCGACTGTTATTATTCACTAATGATGTGAAAAAGACTTATATTTTGTTTATTTTTAGTAATACTATTTAGCGCACCACTCCTCTATAAATATTTAATTATTATAGTGCTATAGTTACTATTTTATTAATGTGCACTACAATACAATAAAAATAAATTCATTAATTTAGGAGAAAACAATGTTTTTTTCAATATTAATCGTAATTTTTGAACATATATGTATCTACGTAATAAAAATCTCGATTTCCTAATCGACTTTTAGTGTCATCGATATAGTGCATTTTGGTTTTCATTGCAGATTTTATTATTTTCTGCTAGTTTTCCGAGGTTATCTTAAATAATACACTGGACATTATTGTATAATCAAAGGTATTTAAAGTTATAATACCTGCTATTTTGGTGTCGTTGGCTAAAACATTTGGAAGTAATTGAGTCGAATTCATTAAATCGATATAAGCATATCGATCATCAAGTAAAGAAAACATTACAGTAAATCGATAGATAACAATGTCATCATGCGATTGGTGATTTGTAGGGTGTTGATATTTTTTTAAACATTGCCCCACATTAGGATTTTCTCCTGAGTCGTGGGTGCTGTTACAAACATACAATTTCACATACACAAGACACCCAGACCCTTAACAACCATTTGTGGATCACACAGAGTTGTTCCGTGCGGGAATCGAACCCGCGACACGTTGCACGGCAGGCAGTTGCCCAGCCACCACACCGACCGTGAAGTCAGTTGATATAATATTCATCATGCCCTCCTCTTTATTGTAAAATAAAACAGTAAATATCAATGAACACTTTATTCAGGAAATAACAAATCTATTGTATTCACATCAATGTAATCAACATGAATTTAAGACTCCATAAGTAACTATAGTCATTACCAAAAAAGAAATGTTGCTTTTGTATAGCAATTAAAGAAATTTTATTATAATGAGTTTTGTTTACAATATAATCTAGATGGAGTATCCTTACAGAGCTAAAATTCACCTCATTCTTACAATAGATTGTTAGACATAATACATACAAGTATATCTAACAATCAAAATTACTGCTAAATATCATCAGAGTTCTGCAGTGTCAGCAGGCCCTGGTATTCCATCTCCTTGTACATGATGTCCTGGTTAAGAGTATGCAGAATATCCTGGAACCTCTGTCTCAATGCCAGGTTCTCCATGCCAGCAATCTCATGCTGTGTCCTCTGTCTTCTCTGTTTCAACTCTTCTAGTTCAGCTCTTAATTGCTCAATTCTAAATGTCATATTGTCCTTAGACATATTATCCCTTGGTTGGTAGTCACCATCATCCTCTGATGATAAACCTCCACTTTTAGACATCCCTGATGCTGCTGGAGTAGTTGCCCTGCTGTGGCCCGGGAAGGATTTTGGAGCAAGATCTTGAGGTGATTGGAACATGTGTGACCTGAATTGGGTAGGCATTGTACTCTTTGATGGACCTTCACCATGCATGGAGTTAGTGTCAGATAACCGACTGTCATAAGCTGACAAGCGACTGTCTTCCATTTCCACATTAATGTTATCATCCTCCAAATCAGAGTCACTGACTGCTCCACCAAATATGTCCACAACATTGGAAGACTCATGGTTGGAGACATCAACAGAGACAGACTCTCGTTTAGGGTTACGTTCAGCTTTTGTTTTCTTCTCTGGTTTGAGATTAACTGGTGCACTTTGTTCTTGTTTGGGATGGTCATCTTCTTCCTTGATGACCTCCCAATTAACACTAACAGCCTCATTGTCTGCTCTCAGCAACCTCTTTACTTCTTTTTCAATTTCTGGTGCTTCTACATATTTCTTTTTAAGTGTTTTTCTAAATCGCCGCTTTCGCACATTCTTCGTAGGTGGTGTGATGCCGTGTGGCCATAGGAACTTTTTGTCAACTTTGTATGGATCTTTTTTCTTATTTTTAGCTGGCGATTCCTCCTCTGTGGATGGTTGGTCCGGTTCTTCTTTGCATATCATCATTTGACATATATCTGCTGTTTTATAGAAACTTTTGTTGTCGATCGTTTTGAGAGACTCTATGATGGTTGGTAAGTCGACAATCTTGGCGTGCATCAACCAGTGATCAAACCTCACCTCGCCCGTTCGCATATCATTTTCTATTTGAATCGTCAGTCTGTTCTTCAAGTTCTCACCAGATTTCAGCACTTCCCTCAAAACTTTAGCAGGCTCCTCGGGCAAACGCATAACAAATTGAGACTCCAACTCCGTTGGATACTCTGGTTCACGTTTATCTCTATTCATTTTGGATACTTTTTATAGACGACTTTAAGTAATTATTTTGTTAGTAGGTACTTAGTTTGAAATCAAAAACACACGAGCACGAAAGTACAGATTTATTGTAAACACGGCCATGTCTAATGTCAGTGTTAAATAAAAAACACGCGATGACGCAAAGTGACACAGATTACTCAAAACTGGTGACGTTTCGGCTACCAATGTTGCTAACATAAATAAGAAGGGTTTTAGTCCACTAAGTTTTTTAACTATTTTGGATCTCCTATTATTTTTCACACCATTTAATTACTTTATCTCTTCCCAGAAAACATTTATTTGGTACCATTATTGCTCAGGAAGGCTGTGCTATCAAATTACCGTCGTTGTGTGTGTGTATCCAAAAGTATCTAAAAGAGAATCATAGTTGCCATTCTACTAAAAAAAGGTGAATCATTCTCTGATGATGACACCTGTCAAAGCTGTCATTTTAATGTAAATTTAGTGGTGTCAGATTTCCGCACCAATACTTAATTTAATTAATTTAAAAGTTATAACTGAAACTAAACTTATTAACACAAAATGCAGGTAAATCGCTAACAGATGTATAAAACCAATTCCTTTAAAATAAGTTTTTGATGTTTCTTTTGGTATTAAACATAGTGTTTATTTTTAGAATCCTAATGAGGATACAGAATGGAACGATGTCCTTCGAGCCAAGGGAATTATACCTCCCAAAGAAGCGGAGATATCAGAGGACCAAATAGTTAATATGATAGAGCAGACCATCCAGCAGAAACAGGCTGAAAGTTAGTATAAACAAAGGATATAGGTTATGGTAACACCTGTTGCTAAGATTGGGAACAATATAGATTAGAGCAACGAATTTAATGTTTATTCAACAATAAACTATCAGTAGAAAGGTGTTAGAATAGTTACCACAACCTTGACCAGCACTATAATGTACTTTTTATTTGTTACATTCACAACTTCTCTTTATGTTCCACTTGAGTGCCAATATATACCATTCAAATAACAGTAAAGATACAAACACATACAAAACTGGACTTTACCTACTTCCTTATCTTACCTTTTTGAACTTAACAATACCCAATGCCATTTCAGAGGACAAACAACTATCAGAATTAGATTTAGACGGGCTAGATGAGCTTGAAGATTCAGAGGATGAGGCTGTGCTAGAGGAATACAGGAGAAAACGTATTGCGGAGCTGAAGAGACTGTCTGAAAAGCCTCGGTTTGGTGATGTGAGGGAGGTGTCAGGACAGGACTATGTGCAGGAGGTGAACAAGGCCGGTGAAGGAATATGGGTGGTCATACATCTGTATAAACAAGGGTATGTAGATATTAACATAACAATATCTTTATTTATTTGTTTTTCAATATTTATTCCTACTCACCATAGCACTTCCTGTAATGAAAAGATTGTAGTCATATTTATTTCAAAATGTATCTTAATTTATTTAGCAGTTTTAGTGGTTTCTTATGATGGATTTTCTACCTTTTCTAGCATTCAGCAGTGTGCCCTAATCAACCAGTATATGCGCCAGCTGGCAGCAAAGTTCCCATACACCAAATTCTTGAAGGCAGTGGCTCAGACATGTATACCAAACTTTCCTGAGAGGAACCTGCCCAGTGTGTTTGTATACTTTGAGGGAGATATGAAGAAACAGTTCATCGGAGGCACAGAGTTGAGAGGAACTTCCTTGACAGTTGAAGGTATGTAGTCAATCTGCCTTTTATCTAGATTTCAATAAGGTCTGAACATTGACTAGATTTAATTGCAGTGTGTCTAAGTTTGTTAATAAAAGATTTTGTAGTTACTGTTTATCCTCATATGTTGACTGAATTTTTTTTAATTCTAACCAACTTATTGATCAATAAATTTTATGTGAAAGAAGATACTACTTTTGCATAAAATTTGAGTGATTTACATTAGAAAAAAATGTTTTTGTCCCAGTCTCTAGTCTAGTCTGAAATATTTTTGGTTGGGTTTGTTTGTTTTGGTCGGTACTGAGTAAATTATGAATAAATTGGTACCCTAATTAAGAATTCTGATTATCTCCATGGGGCAAAACTTTGAATCTATTTTCTTCTTTTGACTGCAATTAGTTCTAAGAATGTTTACCTAATTTCTGTTGATATTCTGATAGGATAACTAGTAATATTGTTTGTTTTAGAATTTGAATACATACTGGGTCAAGTTGGTGCTGTAGACACAAAAATAACAGAGGACCCCAGACCAAAGATTAAGGACAAGATGTTTACTGACCTTGGCTCCAATGACTGGTGATAGTGGTATGGTCACGAGAGAGTGAAGAGCTGCTGGCGACGCTTCGGTGCGGGTTCATGTGCTTTACTTGCAAATTATTTATTTTTAATGAGTAATGAAATTATTTTTAGTAATTACTAAAGTATTTGTTTATACTATATTGAATATCTGTCTGTTATTATATCAGAACTTATCACTAAGTATCTTAAAGGTATTAAAAATGACTAATTTAGATTTTATTGGGTTAGAGTCATTCTTATGGAGAGGCATTTAAATCAATCACAAATGTATAGAAAATGTAGGTACTTAAAACTTAATGTACTCTATTTTGTTTTAATTTTATCACAAACTTCTTACTAAAGAAATCAGTATGTTTTACTACTGTGGATATTATGAAATAAAATACAGTAATGTTTTTAAAACTATTTGTTTTTTATTCACAATATTTTTACAAGAAATACTTAGGTCTATTAATAGTTATTATAAAATAAGTATAATTTACACCAGAATTTATGATTGATATTAAGGAATTCTTTAGCATTGTGCTATTTAGCGAGATCGATAAACTCTGACGAAAATGTGCTCATCTTTTGAATAAAATTACATGCAGTCATTTTACTTATGTTCCTGCAAAGTATGCTGCATACTAGGTAGTTGTTATGTCATTTATTTTACTAATTCGATCTCAATTGCAGTGCTTTCATAAGATGATTACCGATCATAGTACAAAAGTTTAAAGCTTTAGTACTTGTATTTTTTAGAAGTATCATACTCGAAACACTTGATTGCAACCATCCAGTTCAGTCAATATTTTTTATCTTCATCGTTTTTACAAACTCGGTCATATTCAAACCTCTAACTAAGACATTCATTTTATATTTGTCATGCTGATCACATGTACAAGGCTAGTTAACTGCTCGGATTTTGCATCAGAACAATTATACTTATCTCTCGCTCACACAAAGAAACTATCAGTTTCTTTCTCTTTCATTCCTTAGTATATATTTTTTGCTCCTTGGAAAGATTTTCCTCTTGTCTCTGGTCGTATTAATCCTCCAAATTAGCATCCTCGATGCAAGTTAATGGTGGTGACACACTTAGCGATGCAGGGCTCCACGGGGTGCCGCGACTTGAGCCCTAACTCGAACACTCGCATCAGGATCTTAGCAGCATGCTCCTGCATGCCCACTAACAGCTCTGGCAGCTTGTCCAGCAGTGACTGGGTCACTTCAGGCTGGTGAGAGTCTAAGCATTCCAGTACAGCTTGCAGACCTGTGGTGTGGGAGAATAAGAGTAAAAAAATAAAACTTATGAAATTCTTGGAAGGGAATAATGGTTATTCTTCTTTAATTTTGGAAGTAATCAAGTTTCAATAAAGTCTGAGGGAGAAAATGTTTGTGCCATAATTACGATAGTTTAGTTTAAAATAAATAACTGTCGGGCGATTAGGTTGGATGTATAGTGCGTGAGTACCGGGCGTGGTGTCGGTGACGGCGGGCAGTAGCTTGGCGAGCAGCGCCAGCGCAGTGTTGCGCAGCGGCGCGTGCGCAGCGGCCGCGTGCGGCGCCGCGCAGCGCAACACCTGCGCCGCCCACCCCGCGCCCCCCCACGCACCGCCGCGCCGGGAGCCCCACGCCTCGATCTCCTGGGACGACAACCACATACATTTTATACGATGTTCAACCTTTTTTTTAATTGTCAGACATAGAAGACAAAGAATTACAAGACATTTAAAATTATAAATAGTTCAACTTAACAACTAACAAAAATGGATGATACTATGAAATATTTATTTCGTATTGTCAACATCATTTTGTGATTGAAAAATATCTAAATATGCGCTCTACTTTTCTAAAATTATCTGACGAACATAACAAAAAAATAATTGGCAGAATTGGTCCAGGCGTTGCTGAGTTACATTCTTATCAACCAACACATTTTGCATTTGTACATATATATTAAGTAAGTATTTATGACTGTCTTAGATACCTAATTAAATAAAAAAAGATCATGTTACAAACAGTAGATATACAGACCTGCAGCAGCCAGTGCAGGTTGTCGGGCGTGTCGTACCGTCGCTGCAGCGCCTGCAGGGCCAGTGGGGGCGGCGCCGCCGACGCAGGGGCGCTCACGTCCGCCGCCTGCAGGGACGCTAATGCCGGCGTGTTGCTGCAGGGGACAATACAGATATACATTAATTACAATATCAACTAACAGCATTTAATATGTTTGGTTCAGTTATAATAGTTAGGGATGATCCAGCTTTTTTTTGTGTTTTCATACCGTTTTGAATTAAAAAACGGCCGCCAATATAGGATTTGGAATATCCTGATTAAGCCACTGAAACAAAAAAATAATAATTTCCCCTAAATTCTCGCGCGTAGGTACGCTTTTTCTGGGCGAAACGATCACGCGTGATACGCACAAGATAATCGCAGCGAATTCGATATTTCTGAACAAGCTCAAATGTGTCAAGTAAATTGATGACTTGCACAATATCGTATAATTGTATAGTATGAAGCATTAGGTAGATGGGTGTACTGACGCGATGGTGTCCCTATGCTGGTGCAGCAGCGCGGCGGCGGGCGCGGGCCTGCAGGCGAGGTACCGGCGCAGCAAGGCAGCCACGCGGTGCAGCAGCGGGCTGGCGGCGGGCTGCGCGCGCGCCAGCGCCAGGAAGCACTCCAGGATGCTGTGCACGTCCGCCGCGTTGCTGGCCGCGAACAGCTCCTGCTCCGGCAGCACCTCCAGCGCCGCCAGGATGTGCGAGTGGTGCCGCAGGTGGGGGCCCGCGCCCCGCAGCAGGGCTGCGGCCAGCCCTAGAGCGCGAGACCCCGCGCCGCCTACTCGCGCCCACATTCCTCGTACCTCAGCCTCCATGCGCCACAGTCTACAGACAAACAAGTTATTACTCTCTGCATTTCATGCTAGTCTACTCTAAAACAACACCTGAACGCGACGATTCATATTACGTTACAGCTTTGAGTTTGATTATGCATTTTTATTCTTTAAAATCATTCGCGACAGAACGAATTATTCTTCTATCATGACACGAATTTTGATCGGCTCTCTTTTTTGATGGGAATCGAAATGCGAAAGGCTTGTCCAACGACAAGCAAAAGAACGGTAGGTGTATCAATGCATCCCTTATTGTTATGCCTTGGATATGTTAAGATATTTGATGAAAGCCACCCCATTTCTTCTTCTTCTCCTACTCCAACTCGGGGGCGTGATACACTATTGCGCTTTCAAACTTTCGGCTGAACATCCTGTCTCTCACATGGCAAATAAAAATTCGAATATAAGAATAGTTACTTCTGCGAGTACTCCTTGGTATGTAGATGTGGCGCGGCGATGGCGGTGAGCAGGGCGTGCGACACCTTGTCGGTGGCGCTGGTGGAGCTGGCGGCCGCGCTGCGCAGCTCGGGGCTCGTCGCCAGCAGCGACAGCGGTCGGCTGCGCCCTTCCGACTGCAGCAGCAGCGGCAGGATCTTCGGGACCTTGGGGGGGATGGACGGTTTCAGCATAGAGTGCTACAGTACTACTTGTGGTGTACTTAACTATGTAGCTACAGAATATGAACTTTCCAGCTACTATAATTATTATTATTATTCCTTTATGTCAAGAATCGTTTAAAATATTGTACAATACAGTAGAATATAGATTTTATAGTAATACAGTTGTTAATTACCGAAGTAATCGATGACCTTGTGTAGCAACTAATAGGGTTGAAATTAAACCACGTATATAGTGCTTGAACTGCTGGTTCGTATATTTGAACTATTGAACTACACAGATTTCAACTGCACTGGTCTGAGATGAACTGTTTAACACTGCACTGGTTTGAACTGGTTTTGCACTGCACTGTTCTGAGATGAACTGTTTAACATTGCACTGGTTTGAACTGGCTTCTGAACTGGGTTATGAACTAGCTTTTGAACTGGGTTTTGAACTGAATGTACAAATAAATTTTACATACTTATATGACTAGTTGTAACGAAACCATAGCTCGTTTTTAATTGCGGCAACGCCATCTAGTTATAAAATTTGAACTAAAATAAAATAAATATGAATATTATGGTTTCGTTACTCTTGTGGTTGGTTATTGTCATCAACAACAGTAGAAGACACTGTATTACTATAAGTTTTTCCTTTTATTAAACTTCGTAAGTGATGTAGAATGTTTAAAAATACAATAAGAAGAAATTTTATTTGAATAAAGAATCACATGTATGTGTAGGGGTAGATGAAGTGTGATATTGTGTAGAAGGGGGTGGGACAGGTCTAAAATTCATGTTATCATTTTAATTTACTTTCTGGTCACTTTGGAATTGATGTTAATTGTATAAAAAATCTAAAATTTCTGAATAAAGTTGTAAAATATGTAACACGCCACATACTCCCGAGGGGAAGTTCCCAGTGAAGCTGTAAGTGTGAGCGGTACCTTCATGTAGAGCAGTAGCAGCAGTAGCGGATGTTGGTCCCGCGCGGCGGCCGCCAGCGCCAGCAGCAGCGGGGGCGCGGGGGCGGCGCGCAGCAGCAGCGCCAGGCGGGCGTCGGCCCGGCGCCGCGCCGCGTCGGGCCCTCGCTCGGCCTCCGTCTGCCGCGCCTCCGCCGCCACCAGCCGCACCATCTCGCCCAGCTATACAATGCACAGCTTTTTATTACTACCACCTGACCATAGCCCAGGTCAACGCACACTGAACTGAACGAAAATTTGTAGATCACACAAAGTGTTGTTTCGTGCGACAACCGAACCCGCGAGATTTTTCCAGCAGCTTGTTTTCCAGCCACTGCACAAACCATAATTCTTCTAAATTTGTAGGCTGTCTTTCAATTTATTTTAAGATTTTACATATTTACTTCATAGTAATACTAGTCTCTGGTTAGTTTACTGTATTTGACATAACGTTTAAATTTAAGAAAAGAATATCAAGTTTTCTTTGATCTCACCAATTAGATGATAATTTCTATTAGTTATGTTTTACCATATTAATATAAATTTCAAATTCTGTCTATCAATCTTACATTTTCATCTTTCCACTAACTTTATATTATACTTATGCTTGTGCTTGTGAATACATTCCTATTGTGCCTTCTGAACTTATCCTGTGTTGTAATGTGTCAGGACTTGTGAACATTACATCCTTTTGAACGTACATTGCCTACTTATTTATCGGAACCTGACACTATAATTACCATAAATTCATACGAAATTTTTTAATAAAAATAAAAGTACTAATTAAATAAATGTGTACACATTATACGCAAGTATTTTTTATTTAAATGGGCACTCCATGTCTGTTTTTAATTGTAAGTTACTGAATAAACATTATTAAACAGCAACTAGCAACTTAATTCAAACAAATATGCTAATACTGCAGAATATTCTGACCTGTCGGTGGTTGAGTCGCAGCGTATCGTCGGGCACGTAGTGTTTGGGCGTGGTCTTGTCCCGGCCCTGCCACACGCGGGGACTCTCCACTAACGTCTCAGCAAAGTCCAGCACCGCAGTCGGAGACCAATCACTGTGAAAAATAAATGTATCGTTTCTCGACAAGTTCAGTGATACAACGACGTCGTAGAAAACCGGCGTGAAACAACGACTATGTTGACTAACTTGTACAGTCAGTTACAAAAACATATGAACACATTCATATTTTCAAAAACACTGTACACTATATCACCTACATATAAATCACACAACAAGATAAGACCAGTATTGAATGACTATCATTAAGGTTCAAAATTTACTGAACAGTACTCGTCAAATGTCACTGAATACCATTTTATATTAGTTTGAAAATTTGAATGTGGTCATCAACTTTTGATGCTGACTTTGATAATCATCAGGATCGGTGAGTTTTTAGACAGCAAGAGTCTCATCCAATGGGGCAATAGGGGTGGTCCAACCAAGGCTGGAGAAGTCATTTAATGAAAAATAATTACATAGGATAAAGTATCCTTACTGTTATGTGGATAAGGTTGATTATTGACTCCTCAAGATTTCAATTCGAGACGAGATAAATGAAAAGCGGGTTTAGATAACGAGGTCTGTTTGGCAATTATATTAAACAAATTGACATTAGGAGCGGTTACGCACATATTAATACTCAAGACTTACCCTTCAGGCTCTAGCAGCGTGGTGAGGCAGTAATGCAGGGTCCTCCAGGAGGCGCGGTGTGCCAATAGAGTCACCAGCAGTGGCCGCCAGGGGGCGCAGCCCGACCGGAACATTAGTTGCATCTGTATCAGTACAAACACATATTTTAATAAGATACCCTTACATGCACTATTGAACATGAAAGAAAACTTAAAGATATAAACTGTCAGTCTGGGGGTCAGTCCTCTTAGTGAAGCTATTAACTTATTTGCTCGTTCTAAAGTGTAGATTCCGGTGGAGAAGAATGAGCAAGATATTCCATGTTTACTCTTTTTCATATCAGTTTCACATACAGATTCTTTGATACATTATGTGGTCGGTGTTAGTGGTCATTCAAAATATAAATAGCTATTACAGACCGCGACCGTAATATTGTGAAGAAAGTGTAAAGATGGCAGTGTAGTGATCATTATGTACTAGGTCAATGGTCATGTTGTTATCATTTCCTCTCATTTTTCCCCATAGACCACATTACAAAATCATCTAGTTTACCTCTGCACCGTGCACCATCATAAAGCAATGTTGCTACTATGTGTTTACCTGTCGCTGTCGCTGGTCGCTGGGCCCGAGTGCCTCCCTCTGCAGCTCGGACATCCAGTCCAGCAGCAGGCCGCAGCCGAGCCCCCCGCGGGAGAACACGTGCGCCGGACCCATACTGCCGTCCTCGTGCTTTATCTGGACACAAATCATTATTATTATAAATGAAAAAGTTACGATGTTTGGATGTTTGTTACTCGATCACATCAAAACGTCTGGATGAAATTTGCCACAGGCATAGGATATACTCCAAAATAGGTCATCAACATACCACGCGAGCGAAGCCGCGGGTGCAAGCTAGTATTGGCGTTGTGGCGAAATGAGGACGTTTGCTTTACTAGTGGCGCTAGTGTCGCTTAAGGTCTATTGACTACTTTCAAAGAGCCTAAAGAGGGATAAAACGTAATAACATACACTTCTCGCTCCACACAAGGCGATTAGCTAATTAAACAGGACTCAAAAACCATCACAGGAGCGCTAAATCAACAATACTCTTTTTTACATCTAAGGCAAAGAAAACAATATTTAAGAGGATAACGTGACACTGAGTAAGAAGGATTTGCAGATTAAACAGATATCGGGCAGCAAATTCTAGTAAACCTGAACCTTTTTAAGTCATTGACTATCGACACATTACTGTTGAGTGTAGCATATTTTGTCCCAAATGACGTACAATATTACGAACTTTCAACCTGCATAACTACGAATTTTTGTATTAGTTAGAGAAGTTACATAGTCCAGAAGTGGACTGTTGGTTGCTGTGTCACCTCACCTTGGATTCATAGTGTCCATCCTGATTCTTCTCGAGTATGTGTGTGATGACGTCCACGATAACGCGAGGGTCCTGGCTCGATATGATGCGGTTGCCCAGAGCTTCCAGCGTGCTTGGCGTCGCCGCTTCCAGAGCTATAGCAGAAATAAAAATTGAAAAGAAAATGTCGTTTAAAAGTTACGATAGTTTCTGTGCCATGGGAAAATGAAAAAGTATGTTTCCTCAGTTCAATATTTTGCAAACTGCTAATTGATTTTAATATGATTCGTGGTGGCCCGTAGGTTAAGGCGCTCGCTTTTCATGCATGAGGGTGCGGTTTGAAACCTGATAAGTATATAAATGTAATATATAATTTGATTGTATTGTTGTAGATACGTAAGTGTAACGTGTTAATTCAATAAAATAATTGGCTAATTGAAGTACGTAAAACAGCATTTTTGAAATATTAAGTTTTAATAATGATTTGGAAATTGTATGACATGGGTACCCGGAGTCCGTGGAGATTATCAATTAATATTATAATAAAAAATAACAGACAGGTGTCAATACGACTTTTTTTGACACCACCGACATATGGCGAAGAAAAGCAACGTGAGGAAACCTGGACTTACATCTAATTATAAGTTTGAAATCGCTAATGAATCCGCATTGAACGAGCGTAGTGATTAATGCTCAAACTTTCTCCGTGTGAGAAGAGGCCTTTGCACAGCAGTGGGCACTTCTTGGCCGATGATTATGATAATTTTGGTCAGAACTGTTATAACTACAGGAAGTAGAGAATAACATATGGCATTAAGTTCGCCTTTTGTACTAACTTCATTTCATTTTGTACATTATAGCGTAAATAAATAAATAAGGACTGTAGGCCTACCAGGACGTGTTAAAGCGTGAGTCTTCCGGGCGAGAAAGAGGGATGGAGCTATACACCTTTTATGGCTCCATCCCTCTCTCTCGTCGACTGACATTTTAACACGTCATGATAGACTCTCTGAATAGCGAGATGCGGTGTAGATGTGTACCTGCGATGAGCTGTTGCTTGTTGGCGTGTTGCGGCAGATGTAGGTCGAGGTCGGGCGCGAGCGCGCCGCTGTGCATCATGGCGCGCAGCACGGCCACCACGGGGCCCGCCAGCAGCTTGCACTGCGCCAGCAGCGTGTCCGCCACCTAACGGAGTGATACCACGGCCTCACATAAAACCGGCGTGAAACAAACACAGTGTTTCGCTGTGTCAGCGAGGTAACCGGAAGCCGGAAGGAAGTCATATTAGCCCTTCCTCAATTCCTCCCTAATCCCAAAATCTCCAAATCCCTGAGTATCCAAAAGTCTTTTAAACATACAAATTCTCATACACAAACCACCCAGAACCGAAACAAAATTTCTGGATCACACAAAGTTTTGTTTCGTATGGGAATCGAATCCGCAACACGTTGCATAGCAGTCAGTTATCCAGGCATCGGGCAGTCAGTAGTAACTCCTTTGGTATTACGAGTGTCCATGGGCGGCGCTGCTTGCTTACCATTAGGTAATGGGTGTGACACCAGACCCTAGTTACCTGCATGACGGCGGGCGTGCGATGCGGCAGCAGGGCCCGCAGCAAGGGCGCGGCGTGGCCCGGGCGGCGCACGAGGGCCGGCGCCCCCGCCGCGCTGCCCGCCAGCCCCCGCAGCCACACCACCACCGCGCTCGACATCGGGCCCCCGCCTGCACGGACATCCGCTGTTACCAACTGGAAAAAACAAGGATAATTGTAACTCATATACAAACATTTGGCACTGCGCAAGGATGTAGCCTCGCTATGTCTTCTCTATTTGTTCAATTTGATCCCCGCCGCATCTCTCCGCCATCGTTCTACGCGAAAGGGTCTTCATTCCCATCACATAGTTGGTTGACAGTCAACAACAGTGTGAGAGAACGAGATGTTCTGCCCCACACAGCAAAACTTTGGAATGATCTTTTCCGGCAGCAGTATTCCCGAACCGATACGACCTTCAAACCTTTAAGAAACGCCGACTTCCTTCTTAAAAGGCCAGTAACGCACCCGTAACTCCTTTCCGAATGCTTACCATCAGGTAATCCGTCTGCTCGTTTGCCGACTTCTCTCATAAAAAAGAGCAGTTCAGTATTGTCTGAAAAAAATAACCGCAACATTACCGCAATAAGCTCCGAGAAAGCGGAGTCTATGTCTCCGTGGAAGCTGTTGGCAGCGAGGAATATGGTGCTGAGCAGGGGGGGCACCAGGTCCGGCTGCAGCGGGGTCGGTACTACGCAGTTACCCCATTCGTCTTCCGCCTCCATTGGTAGTTCCTCTTTTACGAATAGCATGTCGTCTAAAGGGAAACAAATGATATTATAGATTGTAACTTCAAATGGGGTTTTTGAACTGTTTGTCAGGATTGGGCATAATTGAACCTCAATATGGAGGTCAACATTAAGTAGTGGTTAACTTTTGCAATACCAAAAGTGTGTCTATGAACAGTTTAATATTGTTATTTTAGAAAGAACGATGTGCTTCGTATTATGTCAAGAACGCTATTTAGTATTTTTATACAATTACTATTTTAATTAATTGATGTTTCATTAAATTTCGGAACGGATGGAGGGGTAAAAATTCCCAGTTGCCACCGGCGGTGACTGGGATTTCGTAACACAATTTCGCTATTTATTGCTTTCTTTTTCATAGAGAATAAAATGTAGGCAATTCCTGTCAAAGTCAAAGTCAAAATCATTTATTCCACCTTAACCATAAATAGGTACTTTTGAAATGTCAACAGCTGCTAACAAGGAGTAATTCCTTTAAAAGACGACTGAGAATAATTTAAATTTATTTGGTTTAGATATGTGTTTATTCGCAAGCAGTAGTGCGTGTAGTACCGGGCGGGTAGGCGAGCGGCGTGAGTCGCAGCGTGGCGGCGAAGGCGTGTCCGCCGGTGGCGCCGCGCGCGCGCTGCACGCCCAGCAGCTGCGCCATGTACGCGCGCTCCACGCCCAGCCGGGACAGCGCGCCCATCGGGCACGCGTCCAGCGCGCTCAGCAGCGCACTGACAACACCATGTACCACTCATTGAAGACGCTAAACTATGCTAGTGTTCATGGGTGGATGATGACTACTTTCTATGGGATAGATTGGGAAACGAGCGGACGGATCACTTATAACGAAGGTTGCTTTGGACACCGCCCATGCAAAAAAAAACACACACAAGTAGTTATCAAGTGCGTTGCCATGTCTTACGTGTGTGATAATGTGATGAGTTTTGAGAATTTGGGGAAACCTTATCCCTTTTTTCCTATCCCCAGTGGAATGGGAAGTAGAGGGATAAGGTTTCTATTAATTTCAATCGCACGATGTAAGGAACACAAGACTTTTTCACACTTCTCTCACAATAATGAATTAAATTTAAAACCGCTAGCAAAAACTAGAACTCAGACATTGCCGGATCCTTTGACACGACATCGTCAAGTGGTTTAAAGTAAAAAATAAAAAAAGTCACAAATCTCGTCAACTCACATTTTGGCGACAAGTTTTATCATGAACGATTGTTTATGAAAATAAAATTCGTACTAACAAGATATTTCGCAATATATAAACTTTCAAGTAGCCAACTCAACACATACGAAATCAAACTCAAATACGTAATTTAAGCATACCTCATAGCAGGCACGGGCATGCCGAAGGTTTGTATGAAGAGTGCCAGCTTGGGCGCAGGCAAGGCCCTCATGCCAGCCTCCAGCAGCGGAGGCCGGGCGGAGCGCACCATGTGCAGTCGCAGCCAGTCGGGCAGCAGGCAGGCCTCCGCCCCCGCCGCCGTGTACGCCACGGGGGCCTCGCTGCCCACCCATACCGACATCAGCCAAGAGTACATTTCCTGGTTTGTGTCGTCTGCAAGTCAAAAAAACATTGTTTTTTAATTGAAAATGTCTCATGATAGTTACTATAAAAATAATTATTATAGGTCTAGAATTCAAAAGTTTTTGGGTACTTTTACTCAGTATAGTCTAATGTGTAATGCTACATTAATCTAGTTACTGGTTGTTTATAAGGTATTTGTTGCAACATACAGTTACATAAAACTTATAATTTTGTACAGGAACAGGAGGCAAGTGATCTTCAATGACTGATTTATAAAACTTTTTGCTGATCTCATTTCAATTGTTTTTGTAGGTAATAAAAGGTCTTTTTATCAGATCTTATAACAAATTGAACAACGTGCTGAGATTGGATTGGACAGAATTTCAGAGTTTTGAGGTGTAAATCAAACATAACCCTACTACAAAATATAAAACAAACTTACTTATAAATACAAAAGTTTATAAGTATGAATAGACATTTGTAACTCAAAACTGCTAAACGGATCTGAAAGTAATTTGGCACAGGGATAGATTATAGTATGGTATAAGGCTGCTATTAACCCAGGTACTGCGAACAAAGTAGTAAATGAATGGTACTAACACATGGAAGGTCCGATGCAGAGCAGCTTGACGTATGCGTGTGCCAGCATGAGGTGCATCCGCGCCGTGCGTCCGCTGGGCCACTGGACGGACACGCGCTCGCTGAAGGCCCACGCTGACCCCGCGCCCGCCTCGCACGACGCGCCGCTGCGGACCTGAATACCGGCCCCACTTCTTACACTTATACTACTTCCACATCATTAGACTATAAGGGCCCACTGCTTTGGTAAGGTCTCAGCCTCATATCGATAAGGTTTGAGCATTATTCGCCACGCTTGCTCAACGAACTTATAATAGAAATTATAAGTCCAAGTTTCCTGACGATGTTTTACTTGAACACTTGACATTGGTGCCTAAATAATCTAAGAATGAGCATATTATGTATCAGTTTTAATGTAAAACAAGAAAAAATTTTGGATGTACATCACTCAAGAAGTATAGCTCATGCTTTGGTACAAATGGGGCGGCTCGATTAGATCGATATCACGAACTCACATAAAACCGGCGTGAAAACACGCTTGCATAGTATTTCGCCGTGTGAGAAAAGAAATCAATTCCTGGAGACCTAATAACCCTCTTTCTCTCAAATGACCGGCGCCAAGTATTACGGGTAGGTATCCTCTAGCACTGCTTGCTTACCATCAGGTTATCAATCTGTTTGTTTGCTGCTGAAACAAGCCACATACCTTCTGCAGATAGTCATAGAGTATCTTGGTGATGGAGTATAGTGCACGATGCTGTGCACGCTGTAGTTCTTGCACTTGTGGTTCGTGCGCGTCGTGCACGTCGTGCTCGGAGCGCTCCCCCGTGCCCAGTACGTTGCTCATCACCTGCGCTCGTTCCATTATCACCTGGCTCAGGTCCTGGTGACGATAGGCATGGTGGTTGTACACTAATTTTAATTTTAACTTGAGGTTTGTAAGGTTGAAATTCGTTTATAATGTTTTGTTTAGTGAAATCTAGTGTAAGTTCTAGGTATTTGGTCGGATATTTCTGTAACGAATGCGTGTGATGTGAAATGAAAACAGTGAAGTATTTTTGTAGGTAATGTGTGTGTGTGTGTGTGTGTGTGTGTGTGTGTGTGTGTGTGTGTGTGCATTTATTAAAAATGAAATGAATGGCATAAGAAAATACATATGGATTGTATGTAGAATAATGAGAAAGGGAAGACGATATGTAAAGTGAAAAATTTTGTGAGAATTTTGACTACAGAAGTGATGTGGTGGCTACGTAACTGGCGGCCATGCAACAAGTCACGGTATTGACTCCCGTACGGACCAACTCTTTGCGTGATGTGTAGTTGTCATGCTCACTGAAAGGTCAGATTGGCGGTTCCACGGTCGCAGGGTCGCTCAATTCCCTATAATATGGTTGAGTTGAGCGATGCTGGTGTACGTGTCATGTTCGTGAACGGGCGCCGTCAGTTGGGACTGGTCAGCTCCGGACTGTCTATTATATGGTCTTATGTCTTTAAGGTTATTTTCTTTTATATTTCAGGGGCAAGCGGGTGGAGGGAAGATGATGGGGGTGAATAGAGTAGAGTGTGTAGTTACGAGCACGAGGTCGGTGTGGTCGTGCGCGGGCGTGCATGCGACGTAGTGCTGCAGGAAGGCGAGGTAGGCGGCCAGGTGGCGCGGCACGCAGGCCACGGCGCAGGCGGCCCGCACGCGCGCCACCACGTCCTCGCGCACCGCCTCCCAGTGCTGCAGACGCCACACCAGCTCCAGCCACTCTCTGACACAACACCACCAAGGCTAACTTATTTATTTCAATTGGGCAGTTCATCATCAGCCTATAAGTGCCCACTGCTGAGCAAAGGCCTCTTCTCACATGGAGAAGGTTTGAGCATTATTCACCACGATTGCTCAATGCGGGTTGGCGATTTCAAACTTATAATTAGAAATTATAAGTCCAGGTTTCCTCACGATGTTTACCTTCACCGTATGTCAGTGGTGTCTAAATAATCATAGAAAGTACATATAACTCGGAAAAAGTCACAGTGGTTTCGAACCCACGCCTTCGTGCATGAGAAGCGGGCTCCTTAACCTCCGAGCCAACACCTCGTTAATTAGGCAGTTTCCTAGGTTAAAAACAAATTAACCTCTAGTCTCTTGCCGGTATATGACAAACAATAGTAAACACATTGTGCCTCGTGTGGATCCGCGCTCGAACATACTACGGGTTAATTCGACTGTCGATACACTAATTTTTCGATATTTTTTACGCAATTTCCTAAGAAATATGTCAACAATTATTTAGTTGAATAAAATACTCACTCGGGACTAACGTCAGCGTTGTAATCAGTTTCAGACGCATCGTCTGAAGATTGCAGCACTAGCTTCAAACCCTGGAAATACACGTTGAAATTAATCATATTATCTTAATACTTTTTTTATGTAATAGGACGGCAAACGAGCAGACGGATTACCTGATGGTAAGCAATCAGTACCGCCCATGGACACCCGCAACGGAGGAGTTACGTAGTGACTCGTAGAGTGCGTAGCCGACCTTTTAGGGATTGAGGAGGAATTGGGGGAGGGGAAGGATTGGGCCTCCGGTAACCTCACTCACACGGCGAAACACAACACTGTGGTTGTTTTACGCCGGTTTTCTGAGAGGCCAAATAAATTAGGTATTTTTGTTTCTTTCAAATATTTTCTTGTAAGTATAGTGGCATAAAAGTGTAGTACAACATAAAAGAGTATGTCAGAAAAAGTTTCAAAGTACCCGGTTGGCGGAGGCGCGCGTGGGTGCGTGCGTGTGCGCCAGCCTGGCCATGTAGTAGTGCAGCACGGCGCGCGCGCCCTCCTCCGAGTCGGCCACGGTGCGCCGCAGGTGGGCACACAGCTCGCCCGCCTTGCCCACCTCGCCCCCCGCGCCCCCAGCCCCGCCCGCCGACAGGAACTCGCATAGGCACTGCACTGGCAGTACGCTGTACGAAACGAATTCTATCTAGTTATTGGAAAAACTTGCTTATACACAATGTTAAATATCCCGACTATTTCAGTCGGTAATTTATAGAATCAGGCGTTACTTTGCGGAAATCCATGACATTAAATGTTAGGGAAAATATTTAGTTTTAATTCCGCGACAAAAATCCAGGCTTGTTGCAGGATGCAATCCCACTCCTATGCAATCATGCATATGCACATGCAGCAAGGGTCCCACCCTCCCGCCCACATGCATATGCAGTGGTGCCCACATGCATATGCAGAGTATCAACATCTCCTGAGGATGCCCTGTGGAGGGGCGAAACACGTGTCGAGTATAGGTTTGATTGCGTGGCATGTTTTTCCGTTTTGTGTATGTGTGCATATGCATGTGGGCGGGAGGGTGGGACCCTTGCTGCATGTGCATATGCATGATTGCATAGGAGTGGGATTGCATCCTGCAACAAGCCTGGATTTTTGTCGCGGAATTAAAACTAAATATTTTCCCTAACATTTATTTCAGTCGGTATCTAACTTAACAAGATTATAAACCAAAAATTACACATTAGGCAATAAATAATCGACTGATGACGTCACAAATCTTACATTAACAAAACAATATTAGTCTAGGTTTAAACAATTGAGTCAGTTTGAATTTTGAATCTTATTCTCACCTACATTCAATTCGAAATACAAAAACTGGCTCAATGGTTTAGACCTAGACTAAAGAAAAATCTTGTTTTGTAATAAAATCGCATCAATCAACTGTCAAGCAGTAGTCCCCCAGACATCACCTCGCTTGATCGAAAGATTCTTCTTTTTCGATCTTAAGGAACTTTGGTCTCTATTCACTAGAACAATATCTTTATGTTTTTCAGACAAATGCCATATTAGCCCAACATTACAGCTTTTGTAGGTCAAGATATATTTATATAGGAGCAAATAACCGAAATAATATAGCCTAGTATGTTACAGTGACATATTCAAGCAATTTAGATCTCGCAATGAAAACACTCAACATTTTTATTGAAGGAAACAGGGATAAACATCTCTTACTTACCTAAGTTCGAGCTGGTCGTGCCTAAGAAGTTGATGCAGCCAGGGCATGGCTCTCCTGGTGCCGTGTCTCTCCACCAGGTCCAGCAGTAAGGCAGGCTGCCGGCACAGCAACTTGCCCAGGCGCATTTGAGAGCTCATCGCTTGGAGCGTCTCTATGATCGCTTGGGGAGGCTTCCTGGCAGGTCCCAGAGGTTCCAAGGTCGTCAGCTAAACGAAGAATGGAAACTTGACATGGTAAATTATTTTTCTCATACAAAATACTGAAACTGTCTTTTGTAAAAGCCTGCTGTATTGCTATGAACCGGCCAAGTTTTTATACGCAAAACTATCATGACAGAGTAAAAGCGAACGATTATGGTTGATTAATACACAGAACTAAGAGGTACGACAAAGTCGAAAAAAGTGGTTGCTCTTTTTTACAACCCTCTTTGTGACAGCATTACAATGTCAATATTCGCTAAGCGACGGAAAACAAAATACAGTTTAGGACTAAACATTTGGGAATCAAGAAAAAGAAGCCTGTGACAAAGACAAATCATTTAGAGATCGATATGTTGTGTCGATGTAGGTCTAATATAAAGCATTTTATCAAAACCGGCCAGAAAGCTATGTCGTATAGCTGTGGTAACTCAGCAGTGATTTGTCTTATTTAACATTAATAATGTATGTTAGGTTATGTATGTAATGTTATTGTTATAAGGTACGATGGACAAATTACTTCTCCCACCCAGGGTTAAAGGGCAGGAAGTGTCAGACTCTTAACACATTAAGCGCCATGGGGGTCACCCGTGACCTCAGTTAGCGGAAGACTTGCCCTCAACAGTCTTCTTCCGCAATAGATTTTGTTAGCAGTCAAAGGCTTAATGAGTAATAACCTCCCCGTTCCTTCTCCTGTTCTGGGCCAAGGCCGCGGTGCCTCATTGCAAAGTACTAAGGGGCTGACAAATCCTTTTTGACAAAAGCTAGTAAACCATCCATCAGCCATCATTTCAGACCCTGATCAACATCAGGGTCTGAAATTATGGCGAAAACGCTAGTAATATGACGAGGGTACCTGGCTGAGCAGCCTGGAGTTGTGCTCGTTGACGGGCAGCTTGGCGTTGCTGGCAGCGGCCAAGTGGCTCTCCAGCTGCAGTATGGCGGCGCGCTCAGACTCCGCGCGTTCCGCCTCCGCAGTGCTACTGCTACTCCATTCTATGCTCGGCTTACTATATAAGAGACAGATATTCGGTACATAATCTGTTACAAGTATATAATTATGCTGAACTAACGTGGCTCAACTAAATGTAGATGGAAAGAAAAAAAACAGGAACGAATGCTATCATTATTTTAAGTGTGGGGAGCCAAGCTTTGGCACGAATGGTTCGGCTCGACCGGAGTGATACCACGGCCTCACAGAATACCGGCGTGAAACTACCACAGCGTTTTGTTTCGCCTTGTGAGTGAGGTTACCGGAGGCCCAATCCCTCCCCTTCCCCTGTCCTATCCGCAAAAGGCCGGCAACGCGCTCGTAACTCTTTTGGTGTTGCGGGATTCCATGGGCGGCACCGATTGCTTACCATCAGGTAATCCGTATGAGCATACGGATAAACTGCCGACTTATACCACAAAAAAAAATACTTCCTGTTTGTTCTCTCCAGAATCCAAGATTGTGAGGATCGATTACGCAATATAAAAAAAAATGTGATGCAATTTTTTATGCTATAGGTCAGCAAATGAGTAGTCTGTGCGCCTAATGCAAATAAATCGGCGCCACCCATGAACACTCCTAATACCCTTAATACCAATTATAACTTACAAGTTCGCTGCTAGACTTTTATGGAGTGTTAGGTGTTTAGGGATAGAGGATTTGGAGATGGAGAATGGCAGAGGAGGAGCTGGGGCAGAATTGGACCCCGGACCTATACCTCACCCATATGGCTAAGCACAACGTAAACGTTATTTCATGCCGGAATTCTATGTCAGTCGAGCCTGTCTATGGGTCTTGAATGGGTCGGCTAGACCGGAATGATACCACGGCCTCACACAAAACCGACGTGAAACAACCACAGCGTTGTGTTTCTCCGTGTGAGGTTACCGGAGGCCCAATCCTTCCCCACCCCCAATCCCTCCTCAATCCCTAAATCTCCAAATCCCTAAAAAGTCGGCAACGCACTCATAACTCCTCCGTTGCGGGTGTCCATGGGCGGCGCTGATTACCTACCATGAGGTAATCCGCCTGCTCGTTTACCGATCTACTACATAAAAAAAAATCGCTCTCCCACACTTATGCGATAATCTACGCCAACGTCTGCAAAGAGAGTCTTTATTCCTGTAGTACAATACCGCCAACGTATCTTGGCGAGTCTGAAGTTAGCTGATTAGCTACGCAGTACACAATTTTCTTCCTAAAAGATCCATTGCGCAGATACGTCAGCCGTACTGTAATGTATTGAAATGATAATTTTGACTTACTTGGTGATACACATCTCGATGAGCGCCCTGAGCGTGGGGTACATGGCGGCGGCGCGCTCTGCGAACTGCTGCGGGTTGTGGGCAGCCAGCATCGTCAGCAGGATCCAGCCGCGCCAGTACAGCGACGTGATGGCCAGCGCTGGGGGGGTGTAGCTGTACCAGGTGACGGCGGCATTGTGTTACATTGAGGGTTATTTATTTAAATAATATGACACACAATAAACATTTAGACACAATACATTTAATAACAAACGAGGTATAAAGGAACTGCATATTCCTAAAGCAATATTATAGATTTGCGTCAGGAAAATTAATTAAAACTTATAATTATGACGCACAACCGTGGAATACATGAACATGCGTTATTTATTTTCTGTGCGACTGGTAGGCAAATCTCTTAGCGCTCTGGTAAACTCCGAAAGAAAATTATTTTACGGTTAAAAATGGCAAGAGCTTATCCACCAATATACCTCAATTACGACTACACTACAGTCGAGATTTGTATTCGTATTCAACACAACTAAACTGTTTAGATAAAGGAGGTTAACAATCAATTTTGATCGATTTATTTCCTAAACAAAATCAACAGACTTTTAGTAGGCAACCCTTGATTAAAGAAAATCATAGTGTGGGGCAATGTTTGCCTCAAAGGGAAAATAAACCACCACAGACAGTGGCCCTATAGGGCTGATGTTCAGTCGGGGTTGCGGGGTAAGCGCAATGGGGCACAGTTGCCTCGATCTAAAGCAGGAAAAGGAACAGGAATAAATGTTCCCAGTACTTACCCAGCCGGCAATGTGATATTATCAGGAGGATTGAACTGACACAACTGGAAGATATAGTCAGCGACCTCCAGCTTGTCCACCTGCAGGGGGTTCTCCTCGGCGGGCAGGGCGCAGGCGCGCCGCACCAACTGTTCCACCAGCTCGAACACTTCTGCCGGGGACACCGGGATGTCCTGCGATACATGACGTGGTTCAAACAGAGAACTTTCAAAAAATAAGATATATTTTTTTTATGTGATAGGTCGGCAAACGAGCTTACGTATTACCTGATGGTAAGCAATCAGCGCCGCACACGGCGAGTTACTACACGTGCGTTGCTGGATTTGAGGATTGAGAATGAGGGAGGAGATTTGGGTCTCCGGTAAACTCACTCACACGGCGAAACATAACGTTATCGTTAATTAGCAATATCGCAAAAATGCGAGGTTATATATGCTAATTAGAACAAGAGCAACATTTACTTTGCTCATGACCATGGACCCCTGATGTAGCTCAAAACTAGTCGAGTCACCTCGTTGACTAGTTATAGGTATAAGTTAGCATAATTTACGTACAGCGTAATTTATTTAATAAGCTTACTTACTATCACCCTCCACCAATATAAAAACACCTCAAAGTTAGAAATAAAGGAAAATAAAAATATTAATAAATAGTAAGAAAAAACAGTGAAGACACAGCAGTGCAGTACTAGGAGTGTGAGAGACAGACTACAATGCTTGTTCACTCACTTGGCTTACCTTGGAGAGGCCGATGAAGATGACGCGGAGCAGCGTGTTCTGGGGGAGGGGAGCTTCGCAGCACAGCCGGTAGGTGGCGGCACGCTCAGACTCCGGGGGCCAGTTGTCCACCTTGCTGTACGTCTCCGCTGGCTCCACGAACATCAACTATGAAGGTGGATAGGTTTCTTTTGTAAGTGGTACTACTGGTACATGTAATTGGCTAAGATACTTCGCTTCAAGGCCTTAGTTTTATAGGGGGCAGAAGAGGCAGTTTCTGCTGTCTTTGATATCGCTTGATGACAGAGAACCTTGGACTACGATCACCTCTACGTTACTTAAATACATTATGGGTGTGGTAAAGGCAGAGCAGAAAATTTCTCCTTTTTGCATTTTTCAAAGTTATACTATAGAGTTATTTGCTCGTTCATATCACATCAGAATCTTCACTTGGAACGAACACCTAGCTTCACTGATAAACAGACTGACGTTACGTTTCAAGAGTATCTTTATATGGTATATTTAGTTTTTTTATATTGACTTTATTTCTGTAAACAAATTCATCAATTTACACGCGGATGTCCTAAGATTCTTCGAATGGATAAAATACCGAAACAATACAGAGACCAGGCAGTAGCCGTTTTCTGATAAAACTGATCCTTTTAAACTGTGATCTTCAACCGTTTCGTCAAGCATGGAGTCCAGCAGTGGACTCTCAAGGCTTGTTGATGATGACCTATCTAAAGGGGAATGCCAAGTCCCCATAGTAGTTTAGGCCCACTGTGCACACATATAAAAGTTCATGACTATAATAGAGGGTAATTCCAATAATCAATTGGTAAAAGAAATTATATCAAAAATACTTGGCACTTAAAAGTTATTAAAGGTTTTATTATTTCATCAACACTAGTAACGTTAAAAAAACAAAATAATAATTATTTTAATTTTATAGTGTGGAAGTGTAAAGCATAATAACTGGGAGTAAAATAACACAAAACACCTTTAGTTTTACATATTTATTCTTGTTGATCATCACCATATATGAGTAAAACATCATCAACAAATTGTGCGGGTGGAAATACATTATTTTGATGCCTTGTCCATCCTAAATACCATATTATTATCACAGTCATGACATAACCACAGCATCCTACAGTACGCCAGCCACCAATACAGTTACTGCTGCATGGCCTGTGTCAACAGTGCCAACTAAAACCGATATACAGCTTTTTGCGACGAACATGACGACTAGCGATTCTGGTCCTTACCAGTGAACAGATTTGTGCAAATATAGTGATTGTTCTATTACTATTATCAGTACATGCTTCTATACAGTATGCCCCGGTAAATCTAATTTGCTAGCCATAGTATGAGCGAACTTGCTTAAGTTAATAAGTGTCACAAGCAATCAATATTAAATCACTTATTGATATTTATATCAGGGAATTCTTATATCTCATTATTAACAGTAATTTTTGAAAATCTGCTTCACAAGTAGTGTTTGTATTCCATGTATGTGATTGTTACCTTAAAAATGATGTGGCACAGTGATGACACATACATTTACATGACCAATAATTGGCTCAAATATTGTTGTATGTCGCATTTCATTCCAAGCATTTGTCCTACATGTATGGCACACTAGACTATCACTGGAAACTTGTACCTACAAGAAAAGATGAGAGTAGTTACAAAATCAGAACATAAAGTACTTTTAAAATACTATTAAGTACTAAGAGATTTTAAATATATATGATCATTAATTACCTGGCTAATCCATCGTTGTATAAGATTTCGAACTTCAGTGATTTCCAAAGTATGTCTTCGAATTCTAGATACATTCAAACCGCAGTATAAACAACGTAGATCACCACTCACAGCAGTAGATGACTGTTGTGAATAACTAGGTCCAGAGTAAATGCCGGGTTCGTCGCCGGTCGAAGCGTGTACGGTGTAATACCAAATCAACATTGTCGATACTAAGTCCAGACTGAATGCCGGGTTCGTAAGCCAAAGCGTCTAATACTAAATCCAATTTATCACCAGTGTCGTCATGGGTAGCAGGAGCAGAATCCATAATCAGGCTGTAGTCGTCAAGGATAGGAGAATCCTCAAAGTTAATGAGTGAAAGTATTCAATTTAAACCACGATTAGTATACACAAGTCGTAAGTAAACAAACAAGCAATGATTTTGACATTAACTTTTTCCGGCGGCTTGTCAAAAGTTGACTTGATGTTGCCATAAGAAGAAAAAAATCGATAGATCGATTATATTATTATTTCACAAAAAAATTGTTCTTTAATGGAAATAATATTAGTTTCCATTACATGATATTCATTAATTCATTTTGTTTTCGGAAAAATATCTCTATCTATTAAAAATAATATTTTTTTTATATAAATTATTGTTCCGATTCATTCTTGGTAGTTTTTTTTTGTAAAGGCAACATCTTGAAAATATTTTTATGTTTCCTAAGATTAGTCATTTAATATCTATTTAATGTTTTTGAAAAAATATCCCATCATGCACAGACTTATGAATATATGCAAGACATGAGTAAAATAACAAGGTATTTTTTTACTGAAACCAATTTGTTGTGCAGCTCTGGGCCTAAAATTGGCATTCCCCTTTGTGTACAATACCTTATTAAGAGCCAGTTGGTAATCATGTCTGCTGGGCCGGTAGAGCGGCATGGCGGTGTCCAGCAACCAGCCGAGCGCGGAGGCCTGGATGACGCAGATCTGCTGGCGGTACTCCGGCAGGTGCTTGCTGTGGGACGCCGTCACCAGGCAGCAGCAGCAGAACAGGTCCGCCAGGGACGAGAACGCGCGCTCTCGGACCTTGAACAAGTTGCTTGTTGAGGCACAACTGTCCATTTTGTATTAATCTTGCTTATAACTGTGATTTTGGAACCCTTTTGTCAGGCAGTAATGTCATCCAATGACCTTCTGTTCTGGGTAGGGTGAGAGTGAGTGTCAGACTCTTACTGACTAGAAACCACCAAGTTCCATCTTCTACTCAGAGTCGGGACCGAGGTATATCGGTAAGCTTAACCCGCAAGGATGAGTTTAGTGCCTCAAGTGTGGATATGATACTTAACGAAAGCAATAATTATTGGATGTAGTAATTATTGGATAATTTTTTTATTACATATGATGTGGTATGATTATGCCGATAGGTGACGATTATGATAAATTTGATGAGAAAAAGTGTGATTAGGTTATTGATTATGATGATAATGATGGTAGGTGTTGATGCTGATGTAAGCGCTGATCTGTGGACAGTGAGCAAAGAGCCAACAAACCACAGTTGGGGCCTAGTCTCGTCTCACTCAGGACCCGAGAAGTCAATAAATAAGCTGATGATGATGATGATAAGTGTGACGAGTGTGATAAGTGTGACGACTATGTATTGATGGCAACCAGTGTGATGGACTGACCTCGTTCGGGGGTTCGTGTGGCGGGGGCTGGGCCAGCGCTCGCGCGAGCGGCAGTAAGGCGGCCGCGTCAGCGCGCGCCGCCCGCACCACCTCGCGCGTCAACGCTCGCAGCGGGCGCAGGTAGTCTTCTGGACGGAGAACTAGCTCCTGGACAATACACATACATATGACATTTCATCGGAAACAATGCAAATTTATAAGATAATAAGCCTGCACAATTGATACGTTAGCTGGGCTACCGGCTGCCGTATAACGTGTCGTGGATTTCATTTCTTGTGCATGTTATGTTAATCACTAACCCTGTAGTTTCCAACTAGTCAAATTCAATACTTTTATCCAAATATCAAAAACGATACAATTTGTTTGAAAAACTGAGTTATGACGTCTCAGTATTTTTGGGTCAAATAGCTTATTAATTTCTTAAAAAATAGTTAAAAAATGTCGAATATTTTGTGTACCGACATGTCGATGAATAAAAGTATTATTATTTTTTAATAACAATATTGTATTGAAACGTGGAATAAATTTATTTTAGACCTAGGAAACTACCCAATTATTGTTCCGAATCCGACTGTGTTGTGCAAAATAATATGTTTGTAAACGCAATCACGACACAAGACAAAATTCTAGCGTAATTAACGGTATTTTTCGGTTTTTAAACTATTACAATCAGTATGAAACTATTTTAGTTGGCTTTATAAGGAAGAGTTATTAGTAATATATTATTTACTTGGTAAGTGTCTGCCATGGCGGCGGGCACCTGCTGGGGCTGCGCCTGTATGAGCGCGGCCAGCACCGCCATGTTGTTGGGCGAGCGCACGTTGGACAGCTCGTTGTAGATCGTGTGGGTCACCACGCTGCGCAGCAGGGGCGGGCTGTCCGATACCATCTCTCTGGAATAATATACATACGTAAAATGACAGTCAGCCAGGGTTTCGGATGATGCGCAATAAGGTATCAAGGCCAAAGTTGGAGCAGAAGTAGAAACAGCGTGTTTTTCAGCTACTACGAGTCTGAGGCGAGAGAAATCACTTCATGATTTTCCCCACCGTTATATCATTATAATTAAATAGTTATTAGGTTTTATTACTAACACTAGTTTTATTTCCTCTACTGTATTCTACTAACACTCTATGGATTCTATGTAATCTGAAATAAAAAGTTATTATTTTATTTTATTTATTATTGTTTTTATATCGGATTTCTAGTAAAACAACACCAACCAAGAGAATTAAAATAAAAACACCTACATTGTGGTGTCAATTTAGACAGTGTCCAAAATGTGACCCATTATAATGCCTTTGTTTCGAACTAGGATATTCCTATTTTATGCTTTACCAGCTCCTGCCGCATTGACCACATTACCCGGATGCAAAATAATCTATGTGTTACTCTCGAGAATAATCTGTCTTTTTGGCAAATTTCTTCAAAATCCCTTCAGCAGTTTACGTGACAAAGTAAAAACATTCACTAACCATAGCTGCTTACTGTCACTTCATATTAGTAAGATAGAGAACTGATTAACTGCATCTAGAATCCATCAGCATCGTACTTAGAATAGAATTTAATTTCCTTTTCAGATACAGTATACCAATACAAAATTAAATTTTTACCAGCTAAGGAACAATTTTACTTGTTCAGTAAGTTTTTATTAACACTGTTTATTAGGTAGGTACAGTCAGCTCCAAAAGTCGATGAACAGAATCAACTTTCCAAAACACCTGTTCACAATAAAATGCCATAAGTTATAGTCACAACTAGGAAACAAAATAGCCTGTACATCAGAAATTTACAAAAGTCGTTAAACACGACTAATTCAAAAGTATCTGTGCACTATAGTATTCCTAAAGTCGCTGTACACCATCAATCCAAATGTCGCTGAACATCATTGTATCAAAAGTCAGTAAACAGCAGAAAAGTCAAAATTAGGTTAACAAAGTATATTTTTAATCGTATGCATGATTCGTATATTTTCTGAAGTTATTCAGGTATTTACGTCAACTTGTCGGTGGTTGAACTCGACCTGATGATGATGAAACCGAAAGACAGTCGAGGGATTTCCTTGACTATTTGGAGTAATTGCCGTGTGTTTGGGCTTGAATAATTCTTCTTGGTGAGCACTTTGCACCAAGACTGGTAGTGACTGTCATTAGGGGTCTGATGATGACAACGAAGGACAGCTCAGGGAACGCCTGAACGGTTTCCAGTAACTACCTCGTGTTTGGAATTAATTCATTTATATTAATAAAAACTTCGCACCTACATGAGTTTCAATGAAGTTATGCAGTAAATCTGATGATGGAGCCGGAAGACCGTAGAGGGATCTCTTTGACTATTTGGAGTAATTATTTTGTGTTTGCGCTGGAATGATTCGCATTGGTGAGCACTTTGCACCTATATAGATTATGTAACTATGTTGAAGGTCTACAGTATACATAATGATGGAGACCATTGACAGTCGAGGGCATTCCTCAACAATTTACAGAACTGAACACTAAGGACTACTACTATTACCGTGATTTTCGGTCTCAAGTAGCCGTCGTCTTTTCATTCGAAACGCATTATCCTTGCTTGCTCTGCATATCACTTAAAATGGTGAAATAAAATATTTTTTAACAAAAAAATTAATTTTCTGTGTACAAAGTAATACATGTTTTCATTTAGGTAAATAGAAAATAATATTAATAACTATTTTTATAATCTCGAAGTCGGTGCCTATTAAGTGCCAGGTACCAAGTAAAACAATGATGATTGCTAGGTACCGATCAATACACGTTTCTAATACTGTTGTTGTTTGGTATGTAGCATGTACTTGGCACCTACTGCGAGATTATAAAAATAGTTATTATTATTATTTTCTATTTACCTAAATGAAAAAAAACAAACGACTTCAAAAAGTAAACACAAACATAAAAAATATTTTTTCTGTGTACAAAGTTGTCTACTTCGTAGATTGTTAGAGTGATGTTTATGTTATTTCATATTATATATTAGTATGATTACTGACAATATGAATTAAGTTCAAACACGAAGTAGTTACTATAATCCGTTCAGGAGTTCCCTGTCCTTCGTTCTCATCATCAGACCCTTAATGACAGTTACGACCAAGCCTGGTGCAAAGTGCCAATACGAATCATTCAAGCTCAAACACAAGGCAACTACTCCAAATAGTCAAGGAGATCTCTCGACTGTCTTCCAGCTCCAACATCAGGTCGACTTCGACCTTCGTCAAGTTATAGTGTTGTAAAAGACCTACTTAAACATCATACAAAAGAACTACTCGCCCCTGCAATTATTGAAAGTTCCCCTCGATTTCTCCAAAATTCCATCATCAGATTCTGACCTCATGTAAATGGGACCAAACGGCAGGTAAACCCTATCAAATAAAAAAAGAATTTTGCAAATCGGTCCAGTCGTCTTCGAGTAATCGGTGTACATACATAAAAAAAAATACGCATCGAATTGAGCACTTGCTCCTTTTTGAAGTCGGTTAAAAATATTATTAATTTTTAAATATGTATTGAAAATGATACTAACGTGTTAATATACATTATTAAGTTACACTGTCCCAAAAGTAGCTGAACAACATAAGCGTCAAAATTATATTAACACAGTGCAACATTAAAAATATAATTTGTTAACCTAATTTTGACTTTTCTGCTGTTTACTGACTTTTGATACAATGATGTTCAGCGACATTTGGATTGATGGTGTACAGCGACTTTAGGAATACTATAGTGCACAGATACTTTTGAATTAGTCGTGTTTAACGACTTTTGTAAATTTCTGATGTACAGGCTATTTTGTTTCCTAGTTGCGACTATAACTTATGGCATTTTATTGTGAACAGGTGTTTTGGAAAGTTGATTCTGTTCATCGACTTTTGGAGCTGACTGTACATATAAAAAGTAACAGTAATACATACTTAACTACCCAATAATTATCAGTCAACACTAACTTGTAGCAATATATCATCGCAATTGTGTAATTTACTTAGTATAACACTAACAGAAGGAATAATAAATGTCCATTGATGGTATACATGAAAAAAAATCTTTACCTCCCGTGCTAGTTAAAAACTGTGTTACGGCAAGGTAGAGTAGGGGTAGGAGTACTTACCTAAGACAAGCCTGGTACGCCGCCTGCAGTGGTTTGGTCTTGAGCCTCATGCGGGCCAGCTGGGCCAGCACCTCGTGGTCGCGGGCCGCCGTGGGCCCGCAGGCGTCGCAGTTACAACACACGTACGCCAACAACTCTTGCGCACATCGCCACAACTTGCCGGAATGCAGCCACGCTTCGAGACGAGACGCTGATATCATCCGGATCTATGGAAGATTATTTATTTAGTACATTTAGGAGTATTTAATACACAGTGGATCATTTCAAGACTGTTTCCAAAGGACTTTGTTGCTTGGTAAATTTAATAATTATATTCAATTGATATAAACGCTAGTTTGTTATGAATTTACAGTAGAAGATAGTCCGTCGTGACGTAACTATTTTTGCGTCAAACAGTATTATATTAAATGTATATAGTATGAACGTATATAGTATATTTTATGAAAAGTTAGTATGAAATTAAAGTACTTATAACGTAAAATCGAAAAATGAGACTAGAAAGAGAATGTTGATTAGTAAGTATATAATACAAAAGATTATATTTTATTCAAAATTTGAAACGATTTGATTGCTTATACCCTTACTTACATATACCTGTATAATAATTATTCCTATATCCGTATCCGAAATTTAATATCCATAACATCCATAGTACGAACCTCGGGGAAGCCGCACGTGGCAGACAGCAGCTTGAGGAAGCCCTTCCCGATGGCGTCGGGGGCTGCTGACCGTCGCTGGATCTGTTCCTTGATGGCTTCCAGGACTAGTGTCTCCACCGCTTCATAGCTACTAGAATACCTATAACCCAAACACAAATTATGTTCAAAAATATCTTTAGGATCTCAAAGTTAATTGATTTTGAACTTTATCATTATTAGCAAAGAGTTGAAAGTCACGTTTTGATGGTTTAAGTGATCTATAGTTAGATGGTCTGAAGTAAAATTGAAATATTGTTATTTTTTTGTTACCTTGGATACACCGAGTATTCCAGCTCCATGTTGTCCGGGTCTTCCTCTGTGCTGCCCATTAGAGGGGAGCCGGACCCTGACGGAGACATGGTACCTGAAAAGAAGAATTTTATAATAAACTACCTACTCTCGCGCAGTTTTTGCACGGTTCCTACAGATCGTAGCGTGATGTTTTATAGCCTTAAGCCTTGCTCAATAAATGGTCTATTAAACACAAAAATAAATTTTTCAATTCGTATTAGTAGTTCCTGAGATTAGCATGTTTAAACAAACAAACAAACTGCTCAACTTTATAATATTACATAAGTATATAGATAAAATCTGGAAACTTTATGTGTCAACAAGCAAAAAATTCTTCATTATATAGCATAATTTATTATTCATGTATTTTTTGTACTAGGTTAAGTGTGGTGATATGTAAATGTATGTTTGTCTTATTAAAGTACCCAAGAAAATCAGCATACATGTTATGAATTAGTGGTGTAATTAATGTAGTAAATCAAACTTACCCAAGGTGTTATCAGTGGGTATGAGGTGTGACGGTGGCTGCTTTGTGCTGAACGCAGTGACCACATTCTCCACGAAGCATTTGCACCAGGAACACTCCACCCAGCAACGCTCATTCAGAGCATCCTCTATGTAAACCTGAGGAGGGTAATCATGAGAATTTATTACAGAAAAATTTTCACCCATTATTTGGATAAGTCATTGATCTACAAGTACAGACATTTTCTCTTGTGTTAATAAGCACACATGTTTTATTGAAATTAATAATTTGCCCACAAGAACTAACTGTGCAAAAAGCTCTACTAGTTGCAAATCATAGCTGGATTCTTTACATGATCAGCATCAGTGCGACGGTGCTACGACCTACTTGTAAGTAACTGGTACAATTACATTAAAAAAAGTACTTTTCTGGTTTCATTCACGAAAATAAATTGTTATTTTTAACCAATAAAATATTTATGAATTATGATAGTCACCTACCATGTAATAAAGCATTGCATGTGCATTGTACAGTGCAAGCATGTTCCAATTGGACATAGTGTATCTGAGCTGTACTTGTTATACAAAGACCATACTTTGGTACACAATTATCATCTAAATTGGATGCACACATTTAATTAATCAACAAATATTACTCTGTATATTCTGTTCTCTTTTTTTTATCTAAACTTTTATCATCACAAGCTGGAAGGCACCATACTGTATGGCTAATTTGAAAAAACATATTATTGTTTAATACATGATCAACAACAAACCTTAATAAATATATCAGGCCAGTTATTGCTCTCCCTGTGTCCAGCATACAGCATGTTACACGCCAGTATATAAACAAGTGGGTTCCCCTTGTTCTTGAATGCAGCTCCCTGTTCCCTCTTCAGTAACGTACAGAGACTTTGTGTGACCGTCTCATGCGCAAACATATTCGGCCTGATCTTAGTTAGGTACAGAAGACCCATACATAGTATTGGGTCTGGTTTGGAGCGCTGGGATTTGAGGAGACGTATTGAGCCTGTTAGCAGGCCTAACTGTAAAGAAAAATAGAGATTTAAAAAGGGATTTTTGGTGTCTAGATAGCACTGCATTAGACTAAGTTCTGAATCATAAAGTTTAATTTCCACAAATAAGAGTTACACTAAGGCTGATAGACATATTTATAGTTACATACCAGTTTGTCAGAGTTGTGTGTATCCAAAGCCTGTAAAACATTAGGCACCAGGTCCACCGGGTCTACTTCAAGAGATGTGCCTCCAACTGCCTCGGCAGGTGAGCCGATCCTCGCCCGCTTGCTGGGCGGCTGGCTTCCAAACCCTGATGGTTCTCTTTTGCGTTCTACACCTGTAATCATATAAAGTTTTTATTTATTCTTATACATAAATCATTTTTCCACAGTAGTATTTAACTAATAGTATAGCATTATAAGGTCAGTTAAGGAAGGTGTTATCTTGTAACGAGAGGCTGTAAATGCATGGATAAATATCCACAGGAACAGATGTAAAAGCACAGCGAAAGTGATGGGCCTACATACCACTGGTAGAAGGTTTATGGATATTCCTCTTCTCAGGGTCCCTGGAGACCACCACGGTGGACTTACTGCCCAACGCGAAGATATCTTGTGGGTGCTGCGGAGCCTTGCTCTTAGCTCCTCGACCCGCTGAAGGCATCTTTCCTCTGTCCATTATTCAAACTAACACATATATATATATATATATTTAGTTAAGTGTCTACTAGGAAGTGAATATCATTGCATTTGAAGGCAAATTTCGCTTATAACCGCAGTTTTAATTAATAAAATAGTGCGGTCAAGCATCGAGTCCACAACAAAATAAACTAAATGACATATAAAGACATTGACATTTGCGAAGTGACGGCTGACTTTTGTTTATTCACTTTGACATTATGGCTTTTGCGAAACGAATGTAACGAGCTGGGAAGCTGTGACGACAAATACCAATTTTCTTTTATTATTATCTATTTATTCATGTATTATGATAGATAATTCCAATATTAATAATTTTACAAAAATATTGATGCACAAATAATGTGTGTGATTTCTAGGTATATATTATCTGTGCCACTAAAAATATTCCCGAGTGTGATCGATAAAAAAAATCTACTGTCAAAATTGTCAAAAGGGCCAGACAATCGCAAATACAAAAAGGTACCTTTTTTCAATTATTATCAGTGATTTTAGATTCAAATCTTTTCAAATATGCAATTTAATGATCCATAAATCACATTAAAAGTAATGGTTGTGAAATTTTGTGATCGAAGTTATGTAACTGGTATAAGAGGTTATGTCGGTTTCAGATGCTCACTTCCAGGCTATTGGGTGGTGTGAAGGTAGCACAGACCTCTGTGATGGTCACCAGGAACCTGGCGGCCGCCCAGAAGGCTACTGACCCAATCCAGCAGTTGTTCCTCGACAAAATCCGCGAGTACAAACAGAAGAGCGCGTAAGTTTCAATACTTTGACCTTCCAGCAACATCAGCTTAGATAATTATGATGTAGGAGACTTAGAAGAATAATGATGTATAATTCAAATAGGATATTAATGTTTTCATGATGTTTAGAGCATGTAAACATTGAGACTTCAGTGTTAAAGGCTACAATTCACTGTAGACAATACTGATCTGATTGTATAATGTAGAAAGACAATCACTACAAAGTACATGCATATACTACATATATTTTTATTTCATCAAAAAGTGGGTATTTGCATGTGCACTTTGCTCAACTTTCAGGATATGTATATTATGCAGTAAAATAAATCAAAGTTAGGGAATGAGGTTGTCATTCAATTTTCTGTAAAGTCCTGGTCAGGTATTTCATGGAGAGATAAGTTTGGTTGTTGCTATCATTTTGTTTCAATCATATCAAGTTAACATAAAATATGAATAAAAAATACAGTTTGTGTTGGAAGAATTGGGCCATGATATATTGCAGCATATTATCATTATTCTTGTTGTTTTCTATTTAGAATCTACACTTTAAGTGCTCTTAACTTCACTGACCAAATGACTGACCGACTATATTCTATTTTGACATTTCAAAAGCACCTGGAATAAATGATTTTGACTTTGACTTTATGTATTCAAATCATATGAAATATGTTCTTAAATATGATTAATCACAAGAAATATGTTTAATTTCAGAGGTGGCAAACTTGAAGTTAGCCCAGCTATTGCCAAGGAAATGAAACAGGAGCTGGAAAAGCTGGAGAAGCAGTACGGCGGTGGCTCTGGAGTGGACATGACCTCATTCCCAACCTTCAAATTCGAGGAGCCTAAACTGGACCCCATCAACGAGAGCCTCGCCAAGTGAACATCTACTTGTTAACAACTAGTGAATGCTTTCTCATGATATATAAGTATAAGTGTAAAATAAAATCATTGAATTAGACAGTCTGTCAGTGTTATTTTCTTTGAAACTTGGTTTTATTGTTCTAAATGTCCTTGTAGAATAAATGGTGTTTATAAAAGTCAGAATAAGCAATGTTCAGTTGATAATGAATGCTTTGTTAGTCAAACCACAAAATATTGAGATAAAGTTAAATGTTTAAAATACCTGCATAATATGCAATGGTGAGGACAATTTCCTAATCCATTCAATTAGGTAGTTAATGTCAAAATCAGTATTCCTAACATAACATGTGACCTATGAATCGAACAATATGACTAAAGATTATAGAAGTAAAACGTCTTATGTGCAAAGATCCAGTAATATAATAAAAATAGCAGCTGTAAAAAAATCTGCTGTAGTTCGCTTACACGAAATATTACAGCGCCTAAGAAAATATTCATAGCAATGTTACATGAAAACATATTGCCTTCAATTTGAACGTCACAAAACGTATTCATTTTATTCAATGCGATACCTACATTTTTGGTCTTACTTAAGGCGTGACTTGCTTGAATGCTGACCAGATAACTCAATATAAACTATGTAGTAAGGATCGATCCTCTTCTCCTCTCTCAGGAATTTCCTTACTTGGAGTTGAACAAGCGTATGTACCAACCTAATAAGTACTAATAATGTATGTACCTACCACGGCACTGGCTCAGGTCGCGGCTGTTTCAAGACAATAAGATTCGGATACTCTTAGATAGTGTTTCTCCCCTGCTCAGGGCCGGAAAATGACGAGGCAGAATTGATGTTTCCCCCCTCAAAAAAATTATAATGGAGTATTTCTTGCTGGTGCTTCAAGCTGTTTCGAAGCTAACAGCGCTAGCAAATATCTGCAATGTGTAGGTACCTAGTAGTAGTAGAGGAATTTTCACGTCATGGATGGGTAAATTCCCTTTTTTTTAATCTCATATAAAATTTTCACCTGCAGATTTTCCATGTGATAGTCTAGTAAACATTGTCATTGTAAAAAACGAGCAGACGGATTATCTGATGGTAAGCAATTAGCGCCGTCCATGGACACTCGCAACAACAGAGTAGTTACGAGCGCGTTGCCGACCTTATTGGGATTAGGGATTTGGGAGATTTAGGGATTGGGGAGGGGAAGAATTGGGCCTCCGGTAACATCACTTACACGGCGAAACACAAAGCTGTGCTTGTTTCACGCAGGTTTTTCGTAAGGCCGTGGTATCACTACGGTAGAGCCGATCCATTCTTGCGGAAGCATGGCTCTCCCACACTTAACTTTGGGTTACACCCATATCTAATATTGATGCAGCTGCCGTACCTAATCACGGCCATCGGAATAACAGTTCTTGGGAATAAACTGTGTGGTTCCAAATTGTGAGCTCACAATCTCCGTAATCAGTCATTCGACGTGCGCTTTACATGCAAATGATTTTATCCTCTCCAGTTTTGTCGGTATTCGGAAATATCTATAACAACATTTTTCAATTTATCTTGACATCGTATTTCCAATACAGATCTTATTAGGCTCGAGTTATCAAAACACTTGACTTTGAGGATGTTTTTATCTTGATATTAACTCAACAGGATTTTAGGCGATTGGGTGTAGCTACTTATGTACTAGCAAATATTTTTCTATTTCCTTATAGATTAGTTTTCTTGGAATACCTAATGACATCAGCAAGAGAAATGGTATGTAGGTAGATACTACTTTTGTTTATTCCACTATCAGTTTTTTTATGACTAAGTCCAATTTAATAAACCTACATAGGTATGTTCCCTTCTCTCGACGCAGCAGTTAATCATGTGAAGGTGAACTGAGAACAAATTCGCGCCCATTCATTCGAGTCTAATCCTTTTGATATTGACTCAGCAGTCATATCAAAAATAATTTTATACAAAAATACGCAGTAAACATCGAACCATACCGACCAATGAGCAGTTAGATGTGCGTTCTAAACTTGACAGTGATTGGTTAAATTACTGTCAAACGCTTGAAATTTTCCCGCTAGTTTTGTGCGACGCTGTTTCCAGCCAGTCATATCGGAGAACCGGAGGGTTGTCGACGCATGACGCGTGTTTTCATGTGAATTTTGTCGTTATGGCGACCGGATTCGTAGGGTCTACGAAGAGTTTTCCATTTTCATTCGATGTGGATGTAGAAGATGACGAGCAAGGCAGGTCCACACCGAGGCTCAACAAGCGCATCGGTGAGTACTCGCCATATGTTGCATATATTGACGTCAAAATAATGTTTATGTTCGAATTGAAAGTTTAATTGCTCGGTTTGTGTAGTTTATGGTTTAATTACACCATTATTCGTACTGGAATTTAATTTTGGAACTCGCTAATGTGACCGAAGCTAGTCTACAGTTGTTTCAGAATAGCGATCTATTAAAACATTTCTTCAACAATCGACTTCTCATATTTTCTGTGTAACCTAAACTTATCTTGGCTGTAATCTAAAACTAACAGTAACATCTGCGGAGTATACCGTGTATTACCTTGGCCAAGAAGCGAGTGTCGTGTTAGCCAGTTGAAATATCACACTTGGTTTGTTTCAATTTACTTGACACTCATAATAATACTCCTCCGGTCTCCGGAACACTTCAATGCGGCAGTGTCTTGTTTTGTTGACGTTACACGACCGAGTTCGGTTGCATACCGGACGCGCTGGGATACCAATAAGCTGAGAGCTTCGTATTTTTCCTGGTTTATTCGATCGATACTCGCTCAGCTGACTCGTGTTGCGGACCATATAACTGGAACACATAGGTACTTGTACGATTCTGTGTATGTATAGCATACACATAACATTCATAGCTGTGTTAAAATTTCCGAGTACGTACTTTTATGTAAAACAGGTACCTAAACTGTCGCGGTATCATGCTGACTCGGAGAGGAAAGTTTACAATCTCATTTATATTCTAGTTGCGAGCCAAGCAATTTGCAGGATTACTTACCTATGCTTTCAGTCATTTCAGGTTGAGAAACGTGGAGATTTTACGATAAATTTTTTATGAACCATAGATTTTAATCGTTCTGAATAGTTTTTAGAACCTAGACTAGATTAATCGAGTACTGTACTAGGTCAATTATAAATTTGGATTATTCAAAAAGTTTAATTATCAAAACACGTAATTAGCCTACATTCATTAATTGATTTGATGATACTTAGATACATAGGTATCAATGCCTACTTAAATGCTGATGACCTATAACTATTATACTTACAAAATTCATTGATATTTCAATAGTGTAGTGAAGACTACTTAGTTGGAAATCACCGAATTCCAAAAATAAAATAAATCCTTTTTAAAATTTAGCCAGTGACAACCGGCGTACTAGGCCCTCTCTTAAATTTATATTTGTTATAACCGGGCGGCGTAGGTACCTACTAGACTAGATGGTCACAATTTCGAAGGTTCATTGAATAGCCTGAATGCAGGACGTTACTAAAACTAGGACACACGGACTCAGGTGCCCTATAAACCCAAATTATTATAGTAGGTCACCTACACTAGAACCTATTTGTATGATTTTTAAATTACCTGCCATTCCAACAGCCTTGGTTTCGTGCATTAACGAATAGGTTTTTTTTTAATAGCTGTTTTCCTACTTAATACGTCGCCAACTCGTCTATTGTGTTATATTGTTAAAGTTGCAAGTATTTTTGTGTATTTCGTGTTACTTACAGCTTTCTTGAGACCATCCACGTAGCTATTAGACCAGGAATTCGACTAGTTCGTTCCACGTGCCCCTCAAAGAGCAGTCTGACCACTACCATGTCCAGTGAAGGTTATAAGTGCAAGAGCAGTGATATACCGCGGCCCAGTTCGGTAAAAGAAATGGGTTGGTCTTTAGTTAGAAAAAGTCGGACGTTCCCTTTCGCCCCACGGTGAGAAAAGGAATTAGATGATTTTCTATTAATAAAAAAACGGTTCAAGTTCATGTTTGTAAGAATATGAGCTCCTAGTGTAATTAGGTTACATGAAGTCGTTTGTACTCGTGCCTGCGACCATGATTACTGCCACAACAACCAAGTCAAAATATCAAAAAACTAGCTACTCTCGCGCGGTTTTACCCGCCTCAAGACTCCATTTAATCGTAGCATGATGTTTTATAGCCTTTGGCACTCAGGAACATTGTACCTATCTATCAGTGAAAGGCAATCTGACCAGAGGGTTCCAAAGATTACCCCCTACACACAAACTTACAAACTTACAAACATACCAACTTACAAATTTTACCTCTTTATAATATTAGTAAAAAAATAATGACCAATCAACTTAACGAGGAATACCACTCCGCGATCTACCAAACAGAACAAATTATGTGCAAACAGTAGGTACTTAGTAACAGTATCCACATTTCAACACGTAGTTCTGAAAAATGGTAAGGTTGCTCAATGGCAATCCTTACACGAGATCCTCGATCCTCAGATTCCTCCTAAAACCGTAGTCAACTCAGCATCAATTTTGTTACAAGGAAACTACGCTAAATTCTTTATGAAACAGGTTTTTGATATTTTATCTCCCCCTGTAAGTGGTGGCATCCTATTCGGCCTCTCATTGACAGAGTGACATCTGTCTATCGAGCTGTCTATCCGCTTTCAGAGCTGATACTGACTGATAAGATACCCGTGTGTACTAATGGTAATATATATACCATTAGCAGTAGACATTATTCTGAAAATAATCGTATTCAAAATAATATGTTATTTTGTGTGAATAATGTACGTAGATATTTATTTCTATAAATAACTTACCACTTATTTTATTTTTTTCATGAAGCCGCAAGGCCTTAAGGGATAGTTCGGTTTGGTAATTGCCCTAGAGACTCTATCCACTTGATTTAATATTAGTTTTATAAACGGCTAATCGAGGCAATTAGACACGCGAATATTTACAGCCAGCCAGTAGGTAGGTGGATTATGTCCCTTTGGTCAGTGGTCCTTGTAAAATGAAATTCACAATGTATACTAGGAACTAACTAGGAAATAATACCTTACCACGTTTAGACTACAGTAATCAAAGTCAAGGTCAAAAACATTTATCCCAACTCAATGCAGGTAGGTACTGCACTGCATACTTTTGAAATGCCAAAACCATAAGTATTTTCGTTAGTGAAGCTAAACGCTCCTATCAAAATGTTAATCCGTACGGAGAACAACAAGCAAAAATGTCATAGGTAATAAGGAATTACCTAATAAAGAAAAATCAAACCAATCCAAAGTGTAGATTTCTATGTAAAATCGAATAATTTTCATAAGCGCCTATACTAATATAATCTGAGCAATATCAAATTTTTTATTAAATTTTTAATTTAAGGGCCCAGTAAAGAGCTTAGTAGTATTAATTGCTACTTTACTTTGCAAACTATAATCCTCACTATAAGTCTATGAAATCCTATGAAACCAAAACACATGTCATTTAGTTTTATTCGTTTGGAGGACAACGCGTGCAAATGGAAATGGGACAAAACCTTACGGTGGAAGTAGCTTATCTTATCGTTATCGGATACACATTACATAACTGTTAATTCAGTTACTCGCATAGATACCTAATATAACATAGTTGATGATAGTTGCCATCTGCCCCTTAGTGTAAAACGAAACATTTTTTTCGGAAGGTAATTTCAAAAATGATGTACCTAATCAAATCAGGTTGGAATACTTGGAATCTTCTATTTCCGACTTTAAAAAGGTCACATATAACTTTGTAACTGTCTGTAATGTCATCAAGTCTCCTTTTGTGTACTGTGACTGTAAGAAAACTAAAATGTACAGAACCAGTTTGGCACAAAAGCATAGAAAGTAATTGAATAAAAAAACCGGTTTAACAGTCGAGATTCAAGACCCATTCGTATAAGACTTATAATATTATCCCATCTTACAATGGGGTTTATCCTGCCTACAGTCGGGTAAAAATACGAAATAAAACCCTAATAACGTCAAACATGACAGAACATTATCCAAATATCGACCCTTTAAAGACGAAAGATCCGGACACCCTAAATATTAGGCTCTTATTATATCGAAAACATTGTTACTTATAGTTATATGATAATAAAAACTACATTCTATCAGGCATGAATATAGCTTTAATAATATATATAAACATCCAGTGTCAATATCCTAAAATGACAAGTAAATAGAGACATTGAACTTGGCCGGAGTTTCCGTGTTGCGCACCGCCCACGCTGCCATTCTGATTGCGTGCTATTTTCGTCTGCAAACCACCGTGGCTTCCAGTTTATTTTGATTAAATCCAGACATTTCTGTACTTTTTCAATTACCTTCCGGAAGAACGATTGCGATTCTAGTCTAAGTCTCTTGCATTTAAACGGGTCTAGGTAACATTAAGCTATCACTACTGTCTGAGAATACATAGGCTTTTCATTAGATTTGGCAGTTTTGTTATCGGATGGCGAGTATAGCGCTATTTTATAAGCCAAGCATACAACCTCGGCAACTGCGAAATCTGCAAATTATTTTAACTACTTATTCAGAATTTCTGTTTTGGTTTTTCCACTAGGCTCAGTTGAAAATGACAGTAACAACAATTACTTCAAGGATTCCAGAAAAAGAACTCAATAAATACGCTGATGAACACATCATCAGATTGACAGGCAGGCACTATTATCAATCAGGGTATATTTAGCGCTGGTCACGAAGTGCCAAAGAAGCGTGAATGTCCGCCCTTCCAGCTATGCGTCATCAGTATGCAAGTCCAATCAGTTTGTCATCACCTGTGAACCGTTGCACATCCCTGATGATAGACAAGAGGAGGCGCCAGTGAGCTATTTAATTGAGCTTATTGGCTGTTGGCTGGTAGATCTGAAGAGAAGTAGAATAGATCATAAGCTATAGATATCCTGACGGTATTTAGTCATGAGTTTATAGAATGGAGGAATTAAGTCTATGTTATGGTCTAAGGTTTACAGAGATGAATTTTACTTAAAATTTTCCTGAAGAATCTTCTCCTGACAATAACAAAGACAACAATAACAAAAGAATTTACAATTTGTCCAGACGTTGTTGTGTTATGCGCTTACCAACACATTTTGCGATTCATTTTTATTTAGGAGTTTCGGATCAATTCTACCATTAAAAGGCACTTTGGAAAGTCAAACAAAATAATGAAAAATAAGGTTTTAAAAAAGTGCAGGCTGTCGGTTTATCCTCTACAGAAGTTTTTTACTCGTTCCTTCGTTCTTGCTTCGTTGTAGATTCCGAAGGAGCAGAACAATCAAGAAAATTTGTAGCTCCCCTTTTATAATCGCAATAAGCCTACCTTGCTACATCTGTACGTATACATATTATGACTTTTTCATGTTTCACATGAAAAACTTCATTCATTACCCATCTGATAGGAGACAGTTTCACGCATTTAGCGACAAACCAAAGTCTACCTATCTGTACTTAGGTATATTTTGTAAGGAGAGCTATTTATAAGCATTCAGATTTGCCCTGAGTCATTGGAAAACGTCTAGAATATTTGTTCACGGAATAAATAAGTGATTTTCATCGTAACCGACTTCGGAGAAAAAATGTCTTTGTTCGAAACTACGTGACATAGATCTTTTTGAATTTGTAAAGAAACTCATTTCCGCTTGAATCAACAGATATAAAAATAGCACCATATCTGTGGCAGTGAGGTAGCCGCGAACACGGAGCCACGCGAGAGTTGAAGGTTTCTGGGAACTATGGGAGGTAATTGTGTGGACCGAGTACCTGTACCACGCACCACCATGTGTGTGTGGTTTGTGGTATTTACTCCACAAATACCAAGTCTATAACCATTACTTAAAACATTGGGCCATAAATATTTAACGCTGAACAACTAGTGACAAATTGCTTGTAAACTCATAATATAATGATACAGCACACTAGGTACTAAACTGTTATGCCACTCATAAAACAGCAACTCATTGCATTTAAAACTTTAAGACAAGGACATTAAATTCAAAACGCATTAGCTAACCATCTACTCTGAAGTAATTTACACAGTAATCTTGGAGCGACAAGGCATAATAGATCGCGCGTGACGCTTCACTGAAAACTGAACGAACAAAAGAGTCGAAACGAACATCGTGCCAAGCTCAGTCTGGGGCCAAACACTGCCACAATAACATAGTGTTCATAGTGCTCAAAGTAAATAACTAGTAAACTGATCGAGTGGCTCGTGTCTTGGAAGTTTCCAGTGGGAAATGTTACGTGACAGGTGCATAGTGTTCCAATTCGGAGTGGCTTGACGTCAGAACTGGAGTGTTGCGCCATTTGTCCACTAGCAGGGACATCTCGTCAATTAGGTGTAATGAGTCAGCTCGCTTCCCTAGACCAGGTACTCTAGTGTCACGTCGGTGTGCGATATTAACAGCAAAGGTAACATGACAACACTTTCACCAGCGTCCTTGACATGGCATCGATTTAAAGCTTTTGCCCTATAAAACTTGTCACACGGACAATGCTTGTGGAACTCGCAAACAATAGTAGTTTTGATTAGTACGATGTAATTTCCTGATAACGTTAATGTCACGATTGATTACTTGATAGCAGCATGACCGATTTATGAAGAACCACTCTTGACGGTCCTTGCAATGACTTGGACATTTTTTTTTTAATTCAACAGGAGATCAAGCAAGTTGCATGTTTTGATACGAACAATTTTGTCAAGTCATCGATGATTTTAAATATTCGAGTGGATACTAGGTAGGTAGCATTCGCATAATGTGTGCCAAGGTAATCTTGAAAGACCACGAGATTGCAATTAAAAATGTAATTAAAGGAAAATTATGTTAAAAGATAACGCTATTACTGAGAAACCTGAATCTCTTCAATTGTTTCCATTATCAGTTTGACTAGACAATTTAAAATACTAATTGAAACATTGCCCCAATT